GTTGCCTCTTTCACAACAACATAAATTAAAGTGTTTTTTTCTGTTTTTACAGTAAGAAAAAATTTTATTCATGTAATTTTTGAATCCAGACAAAATTAATTACTACCTACATTTAAAAACATTTTGACATTTTATTTTTAAGAAATAATTCAATTTATTTATATGACAGCAATTCACAATACACTTTACAAAAAAAAAAACATTTCATTTCAATAACATACATTCCAATTGATCCTAGTTTTCAAACAGCATGATCAATTATTCATTCAAAGTTAATTAAAAAGTTTTATCTATCAATGCCAGTGCTTTTGAAAGCAGCTGAGTCTATAAGAGGAAAATTAATAAAGCCCATAAGATTTTTTCCGGAGCGTTTAATCCAGAATTCAAACGCAGGAAAAACAGTGAGTGTGAGATATCTTGGAGAGTCAGTGCGAGTGTTTCCTGCTGTCAACAACTTAAAGCTCAAAATAACCTCTGAGTGAGGAGTGACCGAAACATTCAGCTCAGTACCAGAGGAAGAATTAAGTTTGCACATACAGAACCAGTAGTTCCACCGGCTTCTACTAGTGGCAGGTTTTTAAAGCAGCTTATTTTCCAGACACCAAAAAACATTAATTTATTTTTAAATTTTTTTGTTTTTTGAAATGCTTAGGTTATACTTTTAGAATTAGGAGAAAACCAAATGAAAGCATAAAAAATGTGCAAAATGTGGATTTTGTAAAAAGCATCTTTAGAGAAATGGCATAAAAATACATTCCCAGATTGTGCAAATTTAATATTCTCTCTGCAAGATTTCCACATTTATAAGAAGCTTTCAAGTAATGTAAACATTCAAATTAATAACTATATAATTATTCTTTAACAATAAATTTTCTCTGCTAGCCCTGATGATGACTAACTGTTTAGAAAACATTTGTCAGAATATTTGAAATTCCTCTCTCCAAACTTGTTCATATCTGTACTGTCCATCATATTGTTTTAATTTTTTATTTAGCTATTTATTTATTATTTTTATCCTCACCCTGCAGCCCCTCTGTGTCCACAGGAAGCGTGCGCTTCCTCATCAAGCAGTGTCGCAGACTGGCCACTAGGTGTCGGTAAAGAGCTGCGACGTCCTGCACAATCAAAGAACAAAACAATCAATTTCTGCCAAACATTCAGGTGTCAGATACAACTTAAAAAAATTGAAAGAAGAAAAATACAGGCGTGGGAACTATTTCCCAGAATGCTTAGCGGCGTGTTTCTGTCTCCAGAGATGGAAATGCGCTACATTGATCTGACTCTTGTGTTATTAAGGCAAATGTTTATTTTAGTGTGGCTGACAGGATGATGTCCTGATCACACTAAATGTTCCTGAGCTGAATTCATTGAGATGTTTAATAAAAATCTTTTTCCATTCTCGCTCACCTGTCCGATGGAAATGCACCGATTCAGTAAAAGACAGCTTCTCTGTTGAAACATTTACATGCTTTTGGCCACAAAATTACTTTGTCAAACTTGCAATTTGCGCAGAAAAATGTCCCATTTTTAGAACAGATTATCATGTTCTGTCCTCCAACATATCCTCCTCTTGTTTTTATTTATCTCTTTGGGAGATTTAAGAATAAAAAAAATTGAGCAATTATTTTCAGATCCTGCAAGACAGAACTTGCAGAATCTACAATTTACTGCCTCCAAGCATCTAAAACATAATGTGTAGCTCAATCTAAACTGTATTTGATGTAGATGGCTCCTGACTGTTATATGGATGGACATTCTGCTTGCTTGTGTTGTCCATTCTTTTTTTTTATTACAATACAGGAAAAAAAAATCCATGGGACAGTAAACAGCTCTGGCTGCTGCGGTTTGTTTGGGATCACTGCAAAACTTGAGAGCAGCTGTGAGCTCAAGGAGCTGCTCCTTTTTCTCTCAAACAAAGTTGGAGGCCAGGTGGATGTGAGTGAAGGCCCAGAGATTTCTGGAACAATTACTCAGCAGCAAGTGAAGCGAGGGAGGAGAGGGATGGAGGAGGTGTGTGTGTGCGTGTGCGTGTGTGTGTGGAGGGGATCAATGTAAACATCAGAACCTACAAGGTCACTTGAAGCACAAGTCCAATGTTTTGCTGTGATGTTTTGGCTTAAGGCTTGTTTCTGTTGCCTTCAGGGCTCCTGTAAACAGAGAGTAAAACTGCCAGAGTGACTGATTCATGACACAAGTAATGAACGAATGCCCGACATTTAAAACGACATTTATGGACACGCCCCCTGACCCCGCTGGCCTTTTAAAGGGCCAGCGACAGACGGGGGAAGCCAGCAGTCAGCGAGACGAATGGTTTCTGCAAGAAGCAACGGAAAAGATTCACATTTACATTTTATTAGGTTACATTTTCTGTGTAAGTATTACATGTTTTTTTTTCTTTTAAGTGAGCTAAAAAGATCACTATGGAAGATGATTAGGGGATAAACTGGGAAATGAAGAATTCTGAGAAAAATGTCAAATTTTTTTCTTTTCTTTTTCTCTCAGCATTAGTCAGAATTCTGAGATTAAATTAAAAAGTCAAAGACAAAAATCAGAATTCAAAGATTAAAGTCAGAATTCTGAGAGTAATAATTTGCTTGGTTTTTTAGTGGCCCTAATTGTCTTCCATACTTCCTGTATAATAGCTCAGATTAACTTTTTTTTTTATTTTTTATTTTAGGAGACTGTAGAATGGAGATTACTTTTCTGCTGCTGCTGCTGTTGACGTCTCTGGCTTCTGCCTCCCCACTGAAAGAAGGTCAAAGGTCAGCAACTTTACTGCGAATGTAAATAATGTAATAAGGCACAAACAAACCACAAATCATCCCATGTTATTCAAACATCAACCAGTTTCAGATGTTCAGTCTTCTTACTTTGTTCAATCCCTTTCTTATTTTACATTTGTGTGAAATAAACTCCACCTGATCATTAATTTGTAATTTAGTTGATCTCATTTTTCTTTTTCAGCAACACCATGAATGAAAAGCTAAGTCTCCGTCGAGCCCCACTTTACAGTATGCGCAAATCCAGGAAATGTTTATCTGTGTTCCCATTCAACAACAGCAAAAAGAAAAAGGGGAAGATGACGATCAAGGACCTGTTTGGAATAGGCGGTAAGGGCCGTTCGTCCACTTTGACATCTTTCCAGCTTCATGCACAGAATTGGTGAAATGGTGAATCAGAAGAAAAGAGCATTATTACTGAAACAGGTCCATGTAAGAAGTGGTTGTAATCTTTTTAATGTTGATTATTGTGATCAAATAATAATATGATTGTGAAATGTATAAGATGAATCACGTTGTAACCTTAGTGCTGTCAATAGGCCAAAGGTAAAAATCAGTTAGGGTCAGGACCAAACTAAACATAGAGGAACTTTAAAATTGTTGTTGTTGAAAAAGTATAAAAGGGAACAAAGCGCTTCGTCCGCGACTGCAGACGTCCAGGCAGAAGACCTACGGAGGACGGAAAGACATGGCCTACACCGAGGATGGGCAACTCCAGGCCAGGAGGGCATTGATGTGTCTCCACTTCAACTCACCTGAGTCAGATGATGAGGTCATTAGCAGGAAAACTTGACTGCACTTGGGAGGTGATTGAGCTGTTGGATTCAAGTGTGTTGGACCAGGGAGACGTCTAAGAGTTGCAGGACACTGGCCAACCAGGACTAGAGTCTGATGACCCTGGCCTAGATCAGATTGCTGTCCTTGACTCGCCCAAAGAAATCTCCAATTGGTGCAACAGACTAGCGAAAGATGCCACAGGTGATGACAAGCTGCACCACATTCAACATCCACTCAGAGGACGACTCTGCAGTGAAGAAGCAAAGTCTCCTGCTGCTGAGATCATGTGAGCATGAGTTGAACTGCTCATTCATTAATTAGCTACACAGATTAGGGAAAGGCAGTAGATTCAATATGTGTGATTTTGAAATGAACTTGGATGTAAAACTATTGATTATTGAGTTTTTGCTGCTGCTTCACCTGCTAAATAGAGCATCATGAAAATTCTAACACGGGTTGTGGACAATCAAATTAATGTTATCTTTGAATGCAGAGTTCTTTTAATGATTGCAAAAACTTATGCTTCTTCCTGATGGTTCAGACCAATAACATAAATCACTCTGTTTGAGGTGAGTTTTCCTGTATTATGTAAGTCATACCTTATTTCTTTGCATTATGTTATATTGAAATAATGTGGGGTAAAATATTTAGAATATTTCCTAAATATTATTTGGGTGTCAGCAGTTCTGGAACTATTAATGATGTGTGTCACTTAGAAACTATAATTATTACTTTTTATGTCAATAAACTGTTGTACTTTGTAATGAACCATAAATGTGTTTATATCTGAGTTAGTTTAATGTGTCTATTTAGCTTTATGTGTTTTAGAAATATATTTTTTAGATAAGTGGATAGGAAACTAATTTACATGCAGTTCAGTTCTTGTTTTGTTTTTTTAATCACTGTACCTGCTTGTTTACACCAGATTTACAGCATTTGGATAAATATCTTGCCTCACAGTTTTAAACACCAAACTTAAAATAAAAAATACCTTTCACATGGTATTTTTGCCTTGTTTTAAAAAAAAAGGCCTAAATGGTTACATGAAAAATCTGCAGAATGTGGAAATTTTTTTAAACGTATATTCGATTAATTGTCAGAAAAATCGATCAAAATCACTAAAACAATCGTTTTATTTTAAGTTTTTGTCTTCAAAACTGTGAAACCATAAAAAACCTGGTGTAAACAGCCAGCTGCAGGAGTAAAAAATGTATAAGATGAATACAGACAGACAGACAGACAGACAGACAGAGCTGTGTTTACAGTTATCATATCAGGAAGTGGACTTAAACGGAGCAGCGAATGTGATCCGTTTTTAAAATCCTGTGGTTTTGACAAGGTGTTTGGAGTTTGTCAGTTGTCCAGCTGCGCTGTGAAACCACACCCTCACCTGTCAGGTGTGTCTGGGCTGCAGCGAACCAAGTTTCTCCTCTTTGTCTGCAGCAACAGCAGAAGCAGGAACTGATGTTACAGTGGAGGAAAATGGCCAGCCAGAAACCATAACCTCGAGTGCTTTCCTCTACAAACCTGCCGCTGACAAGGACGGAAAGGAAAGAAAAGGGAAGATGAAAAATACCGGAGAAGTGCGAGGAAGCACAGACAAGCTGAGTAAATCTGAGAAAGACCAGGTGGGTGAACCTTTAACGAGGGGAACAAGTAAAGCGAGCTGAGCTGTGAAGGAGTGGAAGAACAAAGTGAAAGTTGTCCTCAGAGACGCGGTTTGCATTGCTGAGAGACTGGAAAGTAGAGAAACACTGTCTGTGTGTGGATCTCGCTAACTTACTGTCGCTGACAGCTTTTAAAAATGTTCTGTGAATGGAAACCCGCGTCATTAGGGACGGAACGTAAAAGTCCAACGTAATGCCCAACCTGTCCAACCAGTTACCGGAAGTTAGTTGACCCATCGCATTGGGTAATTAACTGAAAAAAGCTCCACCAGCATCACATTAAACGGTTTTACACTTCAGAGACCACGATAAACTAGTTGCAGGTGTCGCGTCGGGATCTGTTTGCGCCTCTACACTGGGATTTACGACTTCATGGTGCGTTTAGGTCAAGTTGTTCAAATAAAACTTGTAAATTTATGTGTTACTGTTCACCTCAGATTTATTCAGACTTCCTAGATAACATTTCAAAAATGTTTCTGAAGAAATATTTAGGTACGTTTTACTAAAACAAACATAAAACATGTCATTTGAATTTCTTTAGCATTTAATCTGTTAACAATTTAATACTCTTAAAGATATTGTCAAGCACTTTATTGAAAAAAACTCCCAACTAAATATACACAAGCATATCTTTTTCCAGTTTTTCTTTTTTTGAATCCATTTCTTTAATATTAGTAAACATAAAACAAGCCACTTCTTACAGATCTTTTGAATATACCTAGAAGCACTGAAGTTGCATTTGTACGGAAGAAGATTAATGCCACTAAAAAGACTGAATGAAAACAAACAAATCTGAATCTCACAATTCTGCCTAATGCAGATAAGCATTAAGAAATGCCCATCTTTTTTAGATTAGATGCGAGTTGTGCAGGAGGAGAACTAATGTGTTGTTGGATTTATGTGTTTTATTTCTTTACTCAGCGTTCTGTCAAATCAAAATGTAAGTTAGTCTCCCCGGAACGGTCTTTACTTCAGGTGGATGTGGTGATTCTGCAGAAAATTGGACATGAATATCTTTTCATTCTTGTCATCAACCAGCCTGGAGTTTGGTTGCAACTCGAAATGCTCGCTAAAGATCTTTGGTAATGGAGCCATCCCAGGCTTCCCTGGTCTTCTGACCGTTTTATTATTTTCTGCTTTTTCTGTCAACCAACCGGTTTCAAATATTTTGCTGCAATCAAAGTATCTGCATGCAAATAAAGAGGCCATGTTTGGTTAATTGGATATGAGGTTTTGGGCATGAACTCTGACCTCTTGGCTTCATCATCCATATTGTTCCACAGCTCATTTGACTCCATTGATTTAAAAAGATGCTTCTTTAGAAAACATTGGTTTCCTTCAGTTTATTGTAACGATTGTGTGCAGAATTTCTAATAATTTGAGTTGGAATTATTAGTTGAATTTAATTATATTCAAATAATATATTTTAAGTTAAAAAATATATTATGAAATAACCAGTTTAAGTTGTTTTTATTAGCATTTATTACAACAAATATAAATAAATGTTCTAATGTACAAAGTGTACTTGAACATTCAGTTTATTTTTCTGACCGTAAAACACAGGATAGAAGCGCAACGCAGAGTTAACTTTTCTGAGGAACTTGCTTCCTCGCTGTTTCGCCAAACTGAGGGCCGCGTCCCATTTCTGTGCGCGGCGCCAGTTGACAGGGCTTCTGTATGATCCGCGTCATGCGAGGAGCTAAATGGAACAGACCCAACATGTCAACATGTCGGTTCCTGTCAGGAACATGTTTGGGGCCTTCGATGGCAGGAATGAGCCTGCATTAGTTTGGTCATTTTAAATTAAGCTCAATGAAAATTTCAAAATAAAAGCCTTGACGATTTTTACATCAGGTCATTGCTCTTTTCTACATTATATAACTGATTCAACCCAATTACTGTTACGCATAGGATTAGTTTGGCCATTTAAAATGAAGCGTCCTGAAAAATTCAAAATAAAAGCCTTCACATTTTTTACATGAGATGCTTGCTGTGTTGGGCGTCTGAGGTGCCAAGACCTTCAAAATAAACTGTGAAAGACAAGATACTTAAAAAATGGAAACACAAAAAATGTCTTGTAGACATCTGTCCACTGCAGTGACCGCTATGCATGACAGGGCTAAATGATAAATTATCATTCAAACAAATATGTTGATTAAAAACTAGTTAGTTTTGTTTTATTTTACGTGTATTCAAATATTTTCACTTGACATTAGACCATAAATTCTTGGGAATGTTGGTGTGTTTTAAAATATTTCTCATTTTAAAGATGTGAGAAACTCAGCCTCTAAGTTGGGGACGTCCGCTGCTGCTTTGCTTCATAGATTTTTGTCGGCTGTGCATAGAGTCAAAGTTGAATCAGCAGCGCCTCGTCAAAAGTCACATTCAGGTGTTCGGGTCGAGCCTCACTCTCTGGCTTGAGACGTTCTCTGTTCTCAGCTGCATTTGCAGGGAGCAAGCAACATGCACAAAAAAGTAAGAGTGGGTTTGAACTGGACTTTGTAAACGTTTTACTTTAGCTTTCTAAACTGTTTGAAATCTTTACAGACTTGGATCGCCAAAATCTACAAGAAACGAGTGTGCACCACCTTTGTGGAGGACTCCTTCAGGTAAGTGCAGAGCGACGGTTATGCGCTGTGCTGTGGATGCCAGAAACCTCATCTCATCTCTTTGTGTCAGTAACGGGGCGCTGTGTCAGTGTGGAGGGGCGAGAGACGCCCACTCCTCCGTGGCGCTCGGGGACTACTTCAGCACGGCCATTGTGAACCGCTGGGACAGCGCCCAGCACTCGTCTGAATACCCGACCGACGCTTTTGGAGAGGTTCAGTTTGCAGGAGCCAGCAAGAGACACAGCCATGTGGGTCCCTTTGGTTTGGCTTTAAGAAATGTTACCTGAATTGGTTGATAAATGTCTTTATGTTGGATATTTATCCAACATAAAGACAATCTTTATCTTAATCTTATGACCTAATTATCAAGACAGATTATAGTATTTGTCAACACATTGGAGATTCCTGAACTCTGACCTCTGGCTGCACTTAATGAGTTGAAATGTCTTTCCGTCAGTTTTTGCGCCTGTCGTCGGACAGCCAACCAAATCTGGTCTACACCTTGATGACGACCCATTGGCATCTTCCCACCCCAAACCTGGTGGTTTCTGTTGTGGGTGGAGAGGGCAGAACGAAGGTGAAGACCTGGGTACGAGAAGTCCTCAGGCAGGGACTTGTGAAAGCAGCGCAAAGAGCAGGTGAATGTAAACCAAGTTCTTAATAAACCAGAGCAGAAAAGAAGGAAAAGGGGAATCTGAGATGTTTTTCTCCAAATTGGAAAAGTCAATTATAATCCAGAACAGAATTTCCTTTTAGACAAGGAACATTTTGCACATTTACATTTATTTACACACTTTGCATCATACAACTTTGTTCAGTGTTAAATAATTTATGCGACATTTTCACTTCGTCCAACATTACAGCCAAAAAAATTTGACAAAACTGCAGGTTTAGGCTGATTAAATCTCAGCAAATCTCCAAAAAGCTCAGATATACTTTAAACATCTTTCATGGAAAGAAAGGACCAATTTTAGAAACATTGATTTGTCATGGACTTCTGTTTAGACTTTTAAATGACCTGTGTTGGACCGTCCCTGCCCAGGAGCGTGGATCTTTACAACAGGACTGCGTGAAGGCGTCGGCAGGTGTGTTGGCGAGGCGGTGAGAGATCACGCCACTGCAGCTTCCTCCGACTCCCTCAACAAGGTGGTGGCCGTGGGCGTCGCTCCATGGGGAATAGTGCACAACAGGGAGCAGCTCGTCAACCCGAAGGTTGTTGTTTTAAGAAGCACATGATCTTACTATAGAGGTTTCTCTGCTCTGCAGGAAGATGTGATGCTTGCTGAACCTTTTCAGCTTTGTGGGTAAAAGGTACTTATGTTGGCTTGTTCACAAACACAAGAGAGACGAGAGTTACTCTGATTGACTTTTATTCTGCTCTTATGTCTTCAATCTCCGTTATACACCACAAGCACTGGCCAGCAGCAGATTATTTGGATTTAAAGTGTCAAGAAGCTTTAAATGTTTCATAATTTGCAGAACTGAGTGGACTGAAATCTCATTACTGAAGGATGGTTTTATGAAAAGAATGTAGTGAAGATGGGGTTTTTTAATCACCAATTGCTCTATGCTAATCTGTAATGCCTTTGTCTTGATTTTGTACGTCACTAAAAGCTGTAATTCGTTCAGGAATGTCTCCACTATTTATACTCACTGTAGCTGAAATGGTACATTAGTTAATTTTGCAGGGTTCTCATCTGAAATAAATGATTGTGGATGCTTTATTGAGCAGGGCAGCTTTCCTGCAAAGTACTACGTACAGAACCCAACTCGGGATTCCTGCTCTCTGGACAACAACTACCAGTCCTTCCTGCTGGTGGACGATGGGAGTGTGGGCCGCAGAGGAGGAGACAAGGTCTTCAGAACCAAACTGGAGGACCACATCTCCCATCAGCGCACAGGAATATGGGGTAAGAAATATATTTATTTACTTTATGTTCATGAAATGGATGAAAAATAATCCAAGGGCTTCTTGTTGCCTGTAATTTGAACCATTTTGACCTTTTTGGGTAATCTGATAAATGAAGGTAAAATGAATATTTTTCTTCACAGGTAGCGGAACAATTGACATCCCTGTTCTTTGTATGTTGATATCAGGAGACACAAGCAGTTTAGAGGTGAATTGTTGACTTGATCCACTGCCGTTTTGCCTTAGTTGACATGGTCATGATGGATTTTTTGATCTCTGCCAGCGAATGGATCTGTCGCTAAAGAACTCCATGCCCTGGCTGGTGCTGGCCGGCTCAGGAGGCCTGGCAGACTTCCTCACTGACCTCCTGGAGAACGTGTCAGTCTTCCAGTCCACCGGTGAAGGCGACGGCGAACCTGGTCCCAGTGTGGATCTGAAAGAAAAAGTCGCAGAGCGAGTCAAGAAGCACTTTCCTGCAGAAACGGAGAGCGACAAACTTGTTGAGCGTGTGAGTTCTGCTTGTGGTGAGAGTTTTGGTCAAGCTGCCCAAAGTGCTGGAATAGAAAGTCTTCAACTTCTGTTCATGTTTCTTGAAGGTGTCCCTCTTTGGCTTCTTCAGTCCTGATGCAGGACGATTTTCTTTTAATGTTGACGTCTCTGTCTGCAGGCTCTCCGCGTTTACCAATGCAGAGACTTGATTTCAATCCACTACGGAGAGCAGGAGAGTCCCACAGACTTTGACACAGTCCTCCTCAAGGCATTGGTTGGCGGTAGGGAAAACCTTTAAAACTAAAACCTGCAGATGTTTTTATGTGGTCAAACATGGCTGTTTTTTGTTTTTCTTGCAGCAAGTAAGCAGCGTGCGTCAGACGAGGCCAGTCCGTACAATGAAGAACTGAAACTAGCTGTTGCATGGAACAGGGTTGACATTGCCAAGAGTGAACTTTTCAATGGAGACATTCAATGGAAGGTAAATGGAAAGAAATGCAGAGTTTTCTACATTTTCTTTGAATCGTTTTACCTTTTTCCTGGTTATGAAAATGTAATTCTCATCCAAACAGTATGAGGATCTGAAGGAATCCATGTCAGATGTCCTGATCAATGATAAGCCCCAGTTTGTGCAGCTTTTCACTGAGAATGGTCTAAACATCACCGAATACCTGACCTACGGCAGACTGGAACAGCTCTACCGCACCGTTCCCGATTCAACGCTGTTGTATCAGCTGCTTCAGCGTCAGTTAGTGTTCAGACTGGGAACTGCACCAACAGTGCCTGCAGCAAGTAGCGAGCCAAAATCACCTTTGAAAGCGGCAGAAGAGATCTTTCAGAGCGGGCCAACGACAGACATCACCCTTTTCGAGGCAAGTTTCCACCTCCTTCATTGATATTAAATCTTATTGAACAAACTGATTGAAAGGTGACACATGAATATCCCCATGGTGGTGTTTTTCTCTCCATCCATCTATATCTCTGTCTATCTTTGTCTGAATCTCTGGCTACATTTCTCTCACTCTCTTTCTATCGTTCTATAGATATTACAAAAATTATGTGAGAATAAAACACCAACTGATGAAACTTTATTTTCCATATTCTTAGATTTCAGGAGTCCTGGATTTATTAATGGGTGATACCTGCCAGCCGTTCTACTATGATGTTTTGGGCATTTCAGACATCGGCTCTAAAAGGAAAGCTGTCAAGGTACGCTTGATTTTTTTTCAGTTTGTTTTTGTCAAGTGTTTGAATAAGAACCTTTTATTTCTTTTTTTAAATCTCAGCTGTTGTGAACCTCTGTATTTGGGTCTCTCCGTTTGTTTTTTCCTCAGCGTGTCAGTAAGCTACTGCGTGACAATCGCTCATATCAGGACAAGCGCTGCCTCTACCCCTGGGCTTCGCTCTTCATCTGGGCCGTTCTGCAGAACCGCACTGAGATGGCCACTTTCTTCTGGGAGATGGTAAAATGTCTGACACAAAACATATTGTGTAACACAAACTTTTTTTAAGACAAAAAGCTAAAATATGGATTTTAAGTTTGTCATTCCACAGACCTAGCATGATCTTAGAGCCTGCTAATTAAGAATTGTGGTTTCTGTCCCATTTTTGTTTCATTTTCTGTTTAAAAATTAAAAATAAATTTGCATTTGTCACTTGTATTTGTCTCATTCAGCTTGTTTACTGTATTTATTCACACAAAACTGTGAAACAATATTTAGGTGTATCGTTATTCCCAGTATATTATGATTTGTGCACAACTTTCTCCAGCTTTTAGTTATGTTTTTCAGTCTTTCAACTTTTTATATTGCTTCTAGAAATCTATAAAATAGAAATGGGTTGTTTTTAAGGACAACCAAAATATTTATATAAACTTTGTTTTTGTCAGTTTGGTATATCAGAAGAATTTTTTCGGTTTCCGTATTTAAGTGTCGGGCGTGTTTTTGAAAATAAATGACTGCATGGACCTGAGAAAGCAATAGAACAATGTTTTCTAAAACCGTTTCACGTCTTTGCTTGTCCTGCTGTGTTTCTAAGGCAGGAGAGTCGGTGCTGACGGCTCTAAGTGGCTGCAAGATGCTGAGAGAAATGTCCAAGCTGGAGTCTGAAACTGAAATCAAACTCTCCATGAAAGATCTGGCCCAGACGTTTGAGAATCTGGCACACGGTGAGACGGTCACTAAAATGTTCCACTTTAATTCAGCCAAACACTAAAAGAAATGATGAGAAATATAATTTTTGATCTGCTAAATTGGATCAGAACATCCTACATTATTTATTCATAAAATCTGCATAAATTGCATGAATTTTTAACACGTCAGTTGTGGTTTGTTCAGATCATTGTGTAGGTTATTCTGATCTTTTAAACTTATCTTAACTGTGATGCCAAACCCTAACCCTAACCCGCATCGATAAATCTGTTTCTAATCTCCCTTCTTTGCCAAAGATATCTTCAGCTCTTGCTATCGCAGTGATGAAAGTCGTTCCTTCGATCTGCTGATTAGGAAATCTCCTGTTTGGGGAAGCACCACCTGCTTGCAGATGGGCATGGGCGCCGACGCACGCCTCTTCTTCAGCCACGACGGCGTACAGGTGCGTCACCGTTTCTGCACTCTGTGATTATTTAGCTGCGTTCACAGAAAAACTGTAATTTGAGGGAAAAAATGTTGCTGTTGTCTGTCCAAAACAGTTCTTTAAGATCTGTTTTGTTCTTTCCATGCGGATAGTTTCCCCGCAAAATCTTCCAGGATTAAAGTTTTTGAGGGGAAAAGTCACAGCGATCAAATTTGTGAATTTAGCAAATTTCATCAGTAATGCAGAAAACATGAGCTCCATTTTCCCTCGAGTAAATCTTCATTCAGACTCTCCTTTGCATTACATGTAGAGGTGGGACTACCAGCAGTTTCAAACCAACTGCACATGGTGAAGGAAATGTTTCAAGCAAAACTATTATTATTTGTAAATGATATACAGTGAGTTATTATTTGTTGAAATAAACCGAGCATTTAATATTTTTAACAAATAGTCCGATTTCTTTATTGGAAAGGGATGTGTGAATCATTGAAAATCCAAAAGTTTGTATTATTTCAAAAAGACTTCCAGTTTGCTCATTATTTTAGGTTTGCTTTAAACAAACAAATAAATTTAGTATATGATGAAAATATTTGCTGTATTTAGCCAAATTTTACTGAACAGATTTGTGTGCATCTGAATAGATGTCGTAGAATTGGTTAATAAAAGATTTTGTTCGATTCATACAATTTTCTATTACAAAAATATCTTGATTTGTCACTAATAATTTTGCACTAAAATAAAAAGTTTCTGGCGCACCTAATTTATGTAATTCTTAAACTCCAAAAATGTTAGTCCAAGGGCCACAAATGGCCCCTGAACCACAGTTTTGACACTTTAACCATAACAGCTCAGCCTCTTTTTGCATCTTTTTATAATGAATCCCACTTGACCTCCTTTCCTCTTTTCCCTTCCAGTCGTTTTTGTCCCACATCTGGTGGGGCGACATGAAGAGCAACACGGCGGTGTGGAAGCTACTGCTGACCTTTTTCTGCCCTTTCCTCTGCTACACAAAACTAATTTCTTTCAGGTAAAATCTGCAGAATATTAGCTTTCCAAATGAGTCGAAGTCACTGTAACCTTGATTTGCATGTCATATTTCCAACACAGGGAAGACGGAAACCAACAGGAAGAGGAAGGAAGGAGCAGCGTTGAAGACCTGAGTCAGGATGTGGACAATCACTACGGGACAACCGTCTTCTCTTTCTCTGACATCAAACACATGTAATGCTTGATTATTCTTCTAATTTGCTTTTCCTTTGGTCTTTTCACCAAAACACTTTTTCACGTACAATTCTCTGCAGCAGAAGAAACCTTTTCACGTGTCAGCATTTTGCAACTGAGCAGTTTTTTTTCCACCAATAAAAATCTGAAATGTAATCCTTTTTTGTATAATATGAGAAATACATTAGATAAACTAAAAATGTTCAGGGTGAGGATGACTTATTGATTATATTTTACATTTACTGATTACTAAAGATTTTTTTATTTGAGTTTTTACAACGTTTTAACACCTGGTGAAGCTAAAACAAGTCCACTTGATTTTTGTGTAAAACTTGTATATATACGTTTGTTTGTATCTTAAATGATGAAAAATGTATATTGTCTTTTGTACAGTTTTGTTTTTTCTCAATTACTGCTTTGAGTGTGTTTCAGGAAATACTCTCTTTTGAGTTTATGTATTCCAATTAACAATTAATCAACATTGGTTACAATAATCGATTCATTCATTACGATCAATCTGATTAATTGTTTCAACCCTCAGATGTTTTATTCTCACATTTTTGCAGTTTTTTTAACTCGTTCACTGAAAATCTCTCATTTCATTAGTGAAGCTGACAGGGTGGGCTCCAGTCCCATCGGAGGTAAGGCTCTTCTAACGGCACAATCATTGGAAAACACTTCAAACATCATCAGTGTTGATTCCCAGGATCTGTTTTTCCTCTGACACAGGCGTCCTGGAACCCTTCAGACCGCCGCGGCGCCCATTCATAGTGTCCCGCTGGCGCCAGTTCTGGTTCGCTCCCGTCACGGCGTTTTTGGGGAACGTCTTGATGTACTTCGTGTTTCTCATCCTGTATGCGTTTGTGCTGCTGCTGGACTTCAGAGAGCCGCCCCCGTCAGGTCTGGCCGCGTCGGAGTATGTGCTCTACTTCTGGGTTTTCACTATGATTTGTGAGGAGATTAGAGAGGTGAGAAACTGTTTAATAAGATTTTTTTGTTCACCGTAGTTTCCAATAAGGCAATATGTTGTTTATTTATTTCTTTGCTCTTTCAGACTTTCTTTTCAGGGGTGACGACTTGGCGTCAGACGCTCAGAGTTTACATTCAAGATGTGTGGAATAAATTTGACCTTCTTGCTATAAGTCTTTTCATCTCAGGATTAATCTGCAGGTCTGAACTTTGAATTAATTTTAACTTGTTTCACAACAAAAGTTACTAAAGTCATTTTTATTGTTGACGCAGAAAGTCTCGAATGATTTTGTCTGTTCTGTTGATTTAAATGTGGTTGTTTTAAAGACTGACCACTAGATGGTGTTGTTACCACAGTATTGATTTTATCAAAAAAAACATCATGTGAACTTTTTTATGCTTCCCAGCTGCTTAAAATGACCCACCCAGTCAGCTTTTAGTCAATTAGTTAATTTATTTTGATTTCTGGAAAATGAACCATTTCAAAAACCTTCCAATATTTAATATATTTAGCAGGCATTGCACCGTTACCTAGCAATCCTAGTCTACTTGGGTTGTTTCCTTGCAACACAAGCAGATCTCCAGCACATTTGGTCAGCTGGTTTTACCGCTGTATGTACTGTACAATGGCTGCTGAAAAAGACAAGTCGTTGATTTTCAATCCAGAAACCATTTGCTTCACTTTTGCTTTTCAGAGATCTACGGTTGTATAATTGCACATGTTTGCAGCCATTTTCACACGGTTGGCGTGTGAAAATGGCTGCAAACATGGGGGGCGTGACCAGCAGCTGCTCATTTGGATTTAAAGTGACAAGACGCCCTAAAATGGCTCAAAACAGGCCTTATTTGACTAGACTTAGTCCGGTCAAATAAGAATGATTTTGTGCCAAAAAATGTAATGAACATGCTTTGAGTGGCCTATAAACCGATTCTAACCTGTTCAAGGAAGCATGACAGTGCATTTTAAAGTTTGACCACCAGATGGCGCTGTTACCACGCTCATTATGTTTGCGTTAACATTTCTTTCAGGATGTTTACATGGACTTATGAGTATGGAAGGGAACTCCTGTGTGTGGACTTCATGGTCTTCACCCTTCGTCTCATTCACATTTTTGCCATTCACAAACAGCTGGGACCAAAAATTATCATTGTTGGCAAAATGGTGAGAAAAGTTTCCAAATGCAACATTACTGTGATTGCACTTCATTTTTCTGTTCTTTTAATAGTGCAACAAGAAGCGTCTCTCTTTTCTTTGAAGATGAAAGACATCTTCTTCTTCCCTTCTTCCTGGGAGTTTGGATCATGGCGTACGGAGTGGCCAATCAGGCTTTGCTTTACCGCCACGACCCGAATTTTGATCGCATCTTTCGCAGAGTTTTCTACAGGCCGTACCTGCACATCTACGGCCAGATTCCTGTGGAGGAGGTCGATGGTAAGATCAACGTTTCATGAATTTTATAGCATTTTGGAATTTTATTTGGATATTTTGCTTAAGTCTGGGAGAAAAATTAGATTTTCCATTTTTCTGCCCAAATGTTAGATTCATTCATCCTCCGATTTGTCCCATAATCCCAAAACCCTTTAGCTGTCCGTCCATCCAGCTAGGCATTTTCCCTTTTTCCCATCCGTTCATCCATCCAACCGTCAATCTGTCCGTCCGTCCATCCGACCCGTCCCTTCTGTCTGTCCATTGGTTTATCTGGGTTTGTCTGTAAACCCAGATAAAAGCAGCAGTAAATTGACAACAGAATGAAACATAACTATTTTTTTTCTCCTGATGTCTGTGTTTGCTTTGTTTTTGTCCTTCAGTTAAAAAAGCTTGGGATGTAGAATGCACCGACAACCTGACATTGGTTGCGGAAGGCGCTGAGCAGTGCAGAAATCCCTCCGGCAACTGGTTAGTGGTCATTCTGCTGATGGTTTACCTCCTGGTGACCAACATCCTGCTCATCAATCTGCTCATCGCCATGTTCAGGTAGGCGAGCCAGGAACGGACAATCGGATGCCTCTGATTCTGGGTTTAATTAATGACTGGTTCTGTGTTTACGCTTGTCCACGCAGCAACACGTTCACTGAAGTCCAGGCCAACAGCGAGTTTTACTGGAAGTTCCAGCGCTACAACCTGATTGTCCAGTATCACTCCAAGCCGTCACTGGCTCCTCCGTTTATCATCTTCTCCCACCTCAATCTTTTCATCAGGAGGAAGATCCGTAAAGTTCCCTCTGTCAAGGTTCAGCACTTCGGTCAGTATTTTGATTGGATTAGCAAATTTGGGTGTTTCAGATTCTTTATTTGGGATTATAAGTTTGAGAGACTAAACTAAAATATACATCAAGTTCCTTTGGAGACCAAATTTTGCAGATTTATTTCAGACAAATACTGTTTCAAGCAACTGATTCAAGCCAGAATAGACTTCAAATCCAGTCGAGAGAATTTATGACAAATTAGAGCAGAAACTGTGAGCCGGGAGTCGTCCAGCATCAATGTGTGACCTTACTAATGCACTCCTGGAATGGTTCAGTATTTCCAAAACACATTCCTCAGTCAATGAAAGTCATGAGGGTGGAAAGTCCAGCATCTCTTTTTTTCATTTGCTTACATGAGGAGCAACTTTACATTTACGTTACCATCTGCTCTCCTTCGCCTTTTTGTAGTTTTGCAGTTGGATCTGAAGGCTGCCAACAGACTGATGACGTGGGAAACGATCCAGAAGGAAGACTTGCTGACCGCCCAAAACAAAATCCAGAAAAGCAGCGACTCAGAGAGGCTGAAACGGATGTCTGCCAAGTAAGTGTACAGATCACTAATAATGATCACGATTTATTATCATCATCATCTAAATTTCTGTTCTTCTCTCCAGGATGGACAGTGTTGCTAAACATATGACTGAAAACAGAGACCTGGACCAGAGGCTTCGGGTTCTGGAGATTGAGGTGAGGACAAACTGTTGAGCTTCATGAATGTGAATAAATAAATAACAAAAGACAGAAAAATAACACAAAAATCAAGTGTTAAGAATGCCGTAGCCACATCATGACTTTGAATGCATCACTGTTTAAACAGCCTGAAAACGATGAAAAAAGTAGATGTTTATTTTATACTTCAATGGGTTTTTATGAGATAATTGCATATAAATACATGTGTACTTAGGAAATAAATACCCAATCACCTCACCCATTCGAAATATGTTCCAAGACTTTGTTCCTTTATTTCTGCTAAAATACAAAAAACTGCAAGAAATTTCTCTTGTAATTTTTTAAAATAAAACAAATAAAACCTGAAGGCAGGCAGGGAACATGGAACAGTAAACAAAAGTGAAGGTCACATCAGAGTTTGACTGTTAGCAGCACTAATTGAAGCTAGCATAGCCTTTTGAAACAAGTTAGCTCCAATTCGCCAGCTAGCGTTGCTAACAGGCAGAACGTTACACTGATGTTGCATGTGATCTATAGAAATATTTAAAAACTCACAGCAAAATAAACATATTAAAGATATGGCTGATGTATGACAGCCACAGAAAATTATTTCAAAATAAAGTCATTTTCATAACCAGACAAGTTTGTACAAAAATAAGTGTTTATTTTTTCAAAGTACCTTTTAAATGTTTCTGAATCATTAAACTCTAAACTTGAATCTTTGCATGTTGAGATGCTAGGCTAACAGTGATTATACCTGTTTTCATATGACTTGTTGATCGTTAAGCTTGCAGTGTAAGTGTATATTTTTGTTCTCTTGAATTACAGAAGTAGCAGATAATTGTTCTCCTTCTTCTTAAACTGTTATGTTTTAAATGACTGGAGTTATACCAGCTTGTATTTCTTCCACATGCAAAAATAGGGCTTTGAGCTGGACTCAATAATTGCTGAATTAAAGTGAAAAATGCAAAACCTAGAGCAGTTTTAGATGCCTTGGGATCACTTTCTACTGTTAAGGGAAAATAACCTGATGAATTTAACTTTGCTCTTTGCTTTGGTTTGTTCCTTTGATTGTTTTTCCTTTTAATTCCTGTAAAGCACTTTGTTGCTGCTGATGTGCTATATAAATAAAATCACCTTTACCTTTGTTTCCTTCCTCTACTCAGATGGAGAACTGCTCAAATGCTCTGAGATGGATTGTTGATACTTTAGCACAGGGTGGCGCGTTTGAACCACCCAGACCACCACCGACGTTTAGAGGTAATTCCCAGAATTACGCAAAAAGCTTCACAGGCGTCTCCGGGAATATTACAGCGATCTAATGTGACACAGACTGCAGGCCCGTTTGACAAGTTATTCAAAACTACAAGGCACTTCTTCCATCTCTTCTCCTTCCTGTGTTTTCCCACACAGATGGCGTTCCCAGTTCTTCCAGTTCATCGCAGCTGAGCCTTAACGACCGAAAAGGAAAGTGACGCATTGGCATTTTGTTGAGGCTCATACATGTGGTTCCCACCCGTCATTATCACTGGATTAAAAACAACAACAAGTCGCCTGTACAACATTCAGACACACCTAAACATGGAACAGTATTCATGGACTCATATTGAAATGCTGATATTATATATTTTTTTACTTTGTTTGCATTCTAGTCAGTTTAACATGAACAATGCTGTAGTTTTAAGGGCTGCGCTGCAAAAAGACAATCTTAACTATATTTAAAATAAACTAACTTATAATTAACTTTTCAGCTTGTTTTATATTATATAACGTTATATAATTTTATAACTTGTTTTATATATCCATTGGCAGATTATTTCACTGATAACACAGGAAAAAAAATTTATTAGTAAAACTAATCTGACATTGGAACAAGAACTTATTATTAAGCTCATATTTCTTGCTGAAAAGTTATTTGTGAGTTAGTTTTACTGTATTGAAAGTGTAGCAATATACTAGACCAAAATAACTGCTTTGTATTTTTGCAGTGTGTGTATATTGGGGAAATAATGAGTATTTGATATTATTGTGTTTATTTAGAGTCAGTGGTTGCTTAAAATTAGCTGCAAAAACTTTTGTCTTTCATTGAGCCTAAGAATTTTATATTTTTTGTCTAATAAATTCCTGAAATGATGATTTAACACTTATTGTGTGATTGAAAGGCCTAACCTTTTGTTTCCTCACACTTGTTCACATAAATTTGGGATACTTCCTACACTTTTCCTATTTATTAGAAGGATTTTGAAATCTCAAAGCCAGTCGTCTTAATGTGAATAGTCATTTTCAGAGGCGGGTTTGAGTTTTCTCATTCGGTTGATTGCGTAAAACTGGTGGGAGGACGACTCACAGAGGACAGGAGAGTCATGGGCAGAGCAAAAGTGTGACGGTGCCCGGTTTCAACATGACATGGCTCCACTGAAGGTCACATAGTGGAGCAAACTGTTGAAGGAGCCTTTACTCTAAATAGTTAGCTGGGCCAGCTGTCAATCGCCTGGAGCAGCCGCTCACTCTGAGAGACGCCGTCGTCCCTTTCTGCCGTACGTTTCACCTGACTGCAGGCTGACAGCGGGGATTGTTTAAAGATTATTTAAAATGCAAAGCTGTCCTGTCACCTGCTGCCTGCTCTCACTGACAAAACCTGAAAGTGAAAGCATTACACAGTTAAAAAGCGGCTGGAATGTCGCCTCATTTCTATTTGCATCCTCGCTGCACATCATGCTGACATCCTCCTGAGATCATTTTACAAACTGGCATTTAGAGACATTTCACTTTGCTTTTTATCACCTCATAGCATTATTTATTTAGACTGTATTTCATTTCCTCACACAGCAGAAACTGTTTGGTTGTAAATACAGATGAACACAACTTCAGTAAGCACAGCCTTCCATCAGCAGACACTTTATTTTTTGTTCCTTTTTGTATTTTAGGTTGTTTCATACTAATCCAAAAAGTGAAACTGGTATTCCCACAGAGAGTTCACTCTGATTATTTAGTTATGCCTCACATAACTAAGAGATGGATACAAATAATAATCAAGACTGAAATGTAACTCCTCAAGTCTTTAGACGTTTTCCTGGCTTAAATTGTTCTCTACGAACACATAAAACAGGGAAACATTTAAAAATATTCAGGCTACCAGGACTGACTTTGGAAACCACTGGCCTGATCAATAATTTGACAATTATTCAACAAACAGGTTTCACAAATTCCAAAGAGAGGATAAGTCACAAAAAGTCATTGTTGAACAAGTTGGTTGGAAGAATATCAATGGAAAGTTGAGCGGAAGGAAAAAGTGTGATGAAAGTTTTAGCAGGATTGGCTGCACTGTGTTTATTTAGTCGTTCATGTGACAGCCGGCCTGCATTTCCTTCACCAGCTGGAATAAATAAAATGAACTGAAATGAACAAATTTGCAGTTATATTATCGAGATCTTTGAGAAGGTAGAGAATTGCAAGTAAGAGAAGCACGAAAGCTTATTTTTACTCGAGTAAATGTATTTTGTTAAAAGCTGATCAAAACATCAATCATTTAATATTTAAAAATTACATCATCAGATGGACCAAAGTATAAAGTTAAGTGGAAGTTTTTGGTGTTTTAAGGACAAAAATGACAATAATTCATACAAGTAACAAAAATAAAAAATTGTTTCTGTCAATAAAAAAGTGATGGAAACAGCAGGTCTGTGTCTGGTTCATTTCTGGCTGAAACATGTTTGTTTTTTATTCAGTTGGTAGAAAATCCAGAAATTTGACTCAACTAAGAGTAAAGATACTTTATATTTTTACTCTACGCTGTAGTAAAAATACTACACTGTAGTATTTTTACTACAGCGTATTACAAATACTCGTACAAATACACTTTCACCAAAATATTATTAAAGTAAATTTAACTAGTTGCTACATCTCAGGTCTGGTTTTCAATCATCATAAGCAACATTTTTGTTAGTACTGATTTTGTTAGTGTATCTCATAACACTAAATATCTATAATTATTCCGTCTTTTTCCAGCTTGTGCTTTTTTTGTCCTCCTTTGCCTCATGCAGAACAGACCCTGAGCAGGCGTTCCCATAATGCACCGTTAAGGACATCAGGATCATTCTTCCCAGGCATGTGCTTCTGTCACTCACCAGCCTTCAGCTGCACATTGCTGTCCCTCTGTGTTCCCCTCTGTGTTCCCAGCAGACGGCCGCCGGCGCTCTGCTCCCGGCCCTCCCCTTGCCGCGCCTCTGCAGCCTCGGGAAACTTTTTTCTCATTTTCAAACTGCGGCTCAGAACAGGAAGTTTTAGAAGATCTCAGCAAAGACAGCTGGACGACGTTTCCGTCATGGCCTTCGTACGAAGCTGGCTGGTCGCCCTCCTGCTGGTGCTCCTGTCGCCGCTGCAGCTTCCGCACGCCGGCTTAGCCCAGGATGTGGCTGAGGAGGAAGAGGAGGAAGAGGAGGAGGACACCAGACATGCAGGGGAAGCTGAGGACGAAGATGGGGAAGTTGCTGAGGAAGACAAAGAGGTAGAAACGGCGGATGAAGAAGAAACTGACGAGGAGGAAGCTGAAGTAGAACAGGAGGATGAGGAGGAAGGAGAGGAGGAGGAGGAGGAGGAAGGAGAGGAGGAGGAAGGAGAGGAAGAGGAGGAAACAAAGGAGGAAGGAGAGGAAACAGAGGAGGAAGGAGAGGAGGAGGAAGGAGAGGAAGAGGAGGAAACAAAGGAGGAAGGAGAGGAAACAGAGGAGGAAGGAGAGGATGAGGACGAAGAGGAGCAGGAGGAAGAGGCTGCAGAGGAAGACGATGAAAGCGATGGACCAGAGGAGGAGGAAGATGAGACATCAGAGTCAGATGACGGAAGTGAAGAGGAAGACGATGATGAAGAAGAGGCTGCAGACGAAGTGGCTGGCGATGAGGAAGAGGAAGGCGACACTGAGGAAGAGGAAGCAGAGGATCATCCTGCAGACGATGAGGAAGGTACGGCTGCTCTTCATCCTACAGATCATAAACGTCTTCAGGACGCTAACTTCTCCTCTTATCATAAACTAGAAGCATAAACTTTAATCTGGAGTCGTCTGAGCGGATGTTTAATCCGTGACGCTGCTTTGGAGCCGCCGTCACGCATTCAGGCCAGAAATAGAGCCGCTTATCTGCAAGCTGCTCCCGTCTTTGTTCACTTCATTTCTGAGGCTCCAAAACAGGCTGGAGAGTCTAAAATAAAACATCATACTTGGATCAAAACGTTTAAATCTGCTTCTTCTTTTCCAAATAAAAGAAATGATCGGTAAACAGTCACTAAACATTAATAACCTCTGATTATTAAACATAAACTGCAGGGTCAGATCCAAACTACTCACCACTTTAGAAATACATCAACATGTCAGTAGTTTTTCCTGTTTATATACGATTTAAATGCAAAATAAATCAAACCAAATTATTTTGATTTGATTTATTTATTTCAAACAGGTTTTTGAAACAGCAAAACTGATCAGTGCAACATAACCAAGAACAAAACAAACAAAATAATTAGTTTACCACGACTTTTCCGGGAAGAAGTGAACATTTATTTATCCTACTTCAATTTAATTAAACAAAATACTCACTGACTGAGTAATGATCATAAATCAGAAAGTAATTAAAGGCATGAATTTAACCCACTAATCAACAAAAATGTCTAAATTAGAAGGTTTTGTTTGGGACCTTCAGAATAAATTCTAGTTTAATCTGACGATTTACAAATTACTTTAAGTTGAAGAAATTTATTTTCTTCTGCTTTTTGTCAGAAAATGTTCTAAAACTTTCCACTTTTATTTTTTTCTTCCTGGAGTTATAAAAAGTCTGGCAGAATTAAATGCTAAAACAAAAAATACTTTAATGTTCCCATTTCCAAGTTTTGATGTTTCCGTTTTAGGGACGACATCCAGAACCGTTTCCGTTGTTCTCAATTCTGACCAACTTTTATTGTTTCGATTACATGCTCTCTGCAGAAACACAAAATCTTAACAACCATTCTGGTTTAGTTTCTAGTGCAGCTACAGCTCTGGAATAAGAAACAATCAGCTTCTCTGATTTTACTCTTCAGGTTTATGTTTGAGCAAAATGAACGTCGTTCTTTCACTGACAACATGTGTCTGAAATTTAGTGTTTATCTGCAGGAAATAAGAATGCAGAGATTCATGCTTTCAGACCTCAAATAATGCAGAGAAAACAAGTTCATCATGATTTAGAAACAACAATATTAATGTTTTAACGAGTTCAGAAGTCAACATTCGTTGGAATGACCAGGTATTCAGGGCAGTGGGCTCGTCTTTTTTACTTAAAAAAGGCTCCTATATATTTCTGGAAAGTTACTTTTGAGTTAGTTTTGTCTTATTTCAAGTGCACTAAGATATTTGTGTTTAGAAACTCGACCAAAATAGTTCCTGAGAGTTTGTGTTTTTGCAGAGTGAATGATTTTCATTGTGCTTTTTCTTCAGGAGTGGAGTCTTATGCAGTGAGAGTGCATAGAAGCCATCTTTGTTGAACACATAACCTTTTAGTTTTGACAGAAAAACTTGCTTGTTTTAAGTCTAACAACAACAATTCTTCTAGCATCTCTGAGTTATTTTGCGATTTATTTGTGGTTGTTTCACAGTGAAAATGTTATGGACCAAAACATGTACAGAAGTTTTAATAATGACAGAAAATAAAACTTTCAGAACCAGAAACAATGAAAGAAATGAGCAGAGAACAACGGAAACCAAGTGGGTCTAATTAGGGGAATGCTGAACAGCTGCAGGGCGGCTGAGTGGAGATTAATGCAGGAACTTAACCTGGACTAAATGTGTTCATTTCCGTGCATTCACTGCGCTGTAAAACACCTTTCGTTGTGTCTACTGTTTTTTCGTTATTCTGTTGGTTTTAGATGAAGTAGAAAGCACAACAAATGAAGCCAATGAAGACGAGGAAACTTCAGGCAAACCGCAGTTCCACTCTGGATCGCTGTGCAGCGTTTGCTCCATCTGCCAGGTAAAACAGTTATTTTGATTTTTCTGATTTTTATAAACGTCTCAATTCACTTTTCTTTTTCTGCTGTTTCCTTTATACCTCAGTCATTTTCAGATCAGTGGGATCAATATATATATAATACCCGTGAATTATTCAGTTGTAATAAGTCTTGAAAATCACCTCAATCAAAAAAATATTCAGTTTTAGAGACTTAAAATCTTTTCTTTAAAAATAAAGATTTTTTTTTGCAGAGATCAGTAAATGAACCATTACAATAATCCATCTGTTTCTCACTCTACACTGTAAAACTGTTTCTTCCAGCGTTGCTCTGAACTCTGTGATAAATGTCCGTGTTCAGAGGGAGACGAGTCGGATCACTGTGAGCGCTGCCAAGTGAGAACCTTCATCACTGAATATCGGATTTTATTGGATTATTCTGCAGATTATTTCTGTTTGACGGCATTCTGCTGTGTTTTTGTCCAGGATTGCTCGTCCTGCTACATCTGCCCCATCCTGTGTGACACCGTTTGCACTCCAGGTGAGTTATCTCACGTCTGCTTTCTTCTTCTTTTTCTGCTTCTTTAAATCTGATGTAACGTTTTGCTTTGTTTGATTTTGCTCAGGCGGTTTTGTCGATGAACTAACCGGATCCATCTTTCAGTGAGTTTTATTCCTTCTTGCTTCACATGGATATCTGCACAGAAGAAAAGCTGCTGTGGCTTTAACAGGTTTCTGTTTTTGACGCCTTTTCAGATCCGTTTCTTCTCTGCTTTGAGCAAAATGAGCAGAAGCTTCTTTCAAGAAGACGGTTGGAATAAAACTGTCAGTTCAGCAGCAGAACAAGGACTTGACATCCAGCAGGAGTTAAAGTTCATTCATTGTTTATGTTCTAATTAAAGCTTCATTGTTATTAAGAGCCAGGAGGTCAGGTTGGGAGGTTTATTACGTTTTTGTATGAATTTTATTGTAAAAAAAATAAAAGCTACCGTCACTCATTTCATGTTTGGGCAAAAACATAAATATAACTGGGGGAAAAAAAGTTGAAGTAACGTTTATTGCCACTTAAATACACAGCAAATTTATATATGAAGAAAAGAGTGATGATCCCAACTTTGATGCGTCACTAAACAGCCAAAAGCATCTAAAGCCCTGCAGGCCTCACCTTTCAGTTAGTGTGGCTAAATTAAAACCATTCTACCACCAAGAACAACCAATCAGAGACAGGAGGACAGTCTTAACGCTGTCAATCATCCTTAAGAACGCCCTGCTAAATGCTAACCTTACCGTTACAGGAAACCCGTTTACCCTCAGTTATTTGTGGGTATGCTAACTAGCCTTAGCATTCACAATAGGATCTGCTGATGGGAAAAGCTGCAGTGACATGACGTAGTCATTAGCAGAGCTCTGATTGGTTGTTTCTTGCACTGGGAGCACTGGGAGCACTGGGAGCAAGCCGAGGAGCTTGATTTTTGTTGTTTTATTTTTGACAGATGAGATTCCCTGCTTTAGACCAAACCATCACAACAGTTTCAACAAATACGTGAGAAAAATATGTATTTATTTGAATAAAAGTTACATACAGCAATTTTAAGGGTAACTAATCTTGTGGGCGAAGCAAGAAGACTGCAGCCCAAAAAAGGCAGAGAGACGGCGCTAGGTTAGCACTAGGTTAGCACTAGGTTAGCGCTAGGTTAGCACTAGGTTAGCGCTAGGTTAGCTAACAAGGGTTCAGGAAACATCTCCTGAGTTATTTTTCAAGAAATGCTTCCTCTCTTCCTCCTGACTCAACTAATTTAGCAAAGTAAACAAAGTCCATCATCAAACCAAGACTTTCGCAGATTCTTACAACACTTTCCAGGTTTCCTCAGAACCCGAAAACCGACCAGTGCATCAAAGAATCAACGCCGACCGCCTGCAGAGGCAGCCGACAGGTTGGACGTCTGGTTTTCTGTTTCCTTTATAACCAGATTTACGGGACTCGTGGTATTTACTTGTGGTTTTCTTGCATACCAGTTTGAGTTCAATAGAAACAGTAATAGATGCATTATGGACTTTTCCCACCAGGCCTGTCATGTGATTAATCTTCAAGTCAATGGTGACAGTTTTAGTTTTGTGTAGAAACCTTTATTAATGTAACAGGACTTTTTCCTCAAGATTTGCAAACTGCCAGCTGCACTAAAATAAACATTTGCCTTAATAACACAAGAGTCAGATCAATGTAACGCACCTCCATCTCAGGAGACAGAAACATGCCGCTAAGCATTCTGGGAAATAGTTTCTTTTTCTTCTTTCAGTCTTTTAAGTGCCAACCTAAAAACTAAATTAATAAAAAACTTACCACTGTAACAAACTCACACATTTAGGTTCAAACTTAAAAACTCACTTATTTGACTAAACGAGTAGGAGATAATAGACACAGCTAAATGCAGCTCGAGTTTTTTACAGTGTAGTACATTTAGGTGTTAAGCAGAATGGAAATAGTAAAGCTGAGCAGGTGGAGAAAGAAAACACAGACAAGGTGTGTTATGGTAATGACAGGTCGTCTCCTCTCCCCTCAGGTCGTCTGTAATGAAGCGATCTGTGTTGCTGTCTGAGCGCCAAAGAGAAACCAACACATTCACATTCCCATGTGGAGCGTTACAGCTGTTCCAATGTTTTCACATCCTCCAGCAACTCTGTGTATCATGTGGGGAGATTTTTACATGCAGGGTGATAAATGAAGGCGTCCGTCCTTCACCTGAAGAAATATTTTTATGCAACACAGTTTGTGGCGGCCATTAATGGGAGCGGAAAATATCTCCGACAGGAAGCAGATTGAAGCGCGGCTCTCGGAAGTCGTTGTGCCAACGACAAACAAATATTCTTCTTCACTTGGCAGTGGGTTGGTAAAATAAGTTTGTCTGTGACTCAGCAGAAACGAAGAAAAATAACTTTAGCATTAATATACTGGATGTTTGTTCTGGTGCATCTCAGAGTTTTTGCTTCATAATTTAAATAAAACAGCCTCTTTCCTTATTCATCTCAAGTTCATAACTAAATCCTTGCTGTGTTTCTTCCTTTAAATCCTTAAAATCTCATTTTCATTTTGGGTCATATCAAAACTCTGGATGTTCTTAATTGGATGATTAAGAACATCTTAGAAGCCACTAAACTGTTAAAATATCAGCATTCAGTAAGTGTTCCTTAAAAGGAAATAATATTGAGCACATTTTCAGTCAATCCAGGATTTCTTAATTGTTTTTGTGGGTTTTTTTGCAATCAAAATCACAGATTTTGTGGAGCTAATTTGGAAATATTTTCAAGGCATTTTTACAAAATTTTTTCTGATATATGACATAAAATTTTTTTTTTATACCACTCATCTATTGTGATCAAATAGACCTGAGGCAGCAGTCACTTAAACACAAAGTTTTTTGGCCAATTTTGAGAAAAATTTGCAGTAAACCAGAAAAAAGTCTGTTTTTGCATGAATTCCACAGATTTCTGAAAAACTGAGGGACTCAGTGATGCAAATTGGAGTCTGGAGGGCCGCATAAACAGCTGCAGCGGGCCAGATTTGGCCCCCAAGCCTTGAGTTTGACATGTGCTTTAAAAGGACAAACAAAAAGAGGACTAATGGTGAAGCATGAGTGAGAACTCTGGGTGAAGGTCAAACAACCGGTTCATTAATATCAGCAATGATATTTGTACAAACAGAGGAACATTTATATTAAACAGAAGTGGGTTGCAAGTCGGCGTTGGTTGTTACCTCACGTGTCAGAATCTCCATGTTCCAATAAATGGAAAGGAAAGAACAAAATCTGCAGAAAACTGGTTTTAAACATCAGTGATATTTCTGTTATACATTAAAGCAGACGGCAGTTCCTCAGCTTGACACGAGAAATAAAACTGCCTGCGAGCAACGCTGAAGTTCAATTATTAACATCTAATGCCACAAGTTTAATAAATACAAAATACAAAGTGTGACAAAAGGACAAAGTGTGGATAAAGTCAAACGTTTGAGCCCCTGACGAAGCAAACTGTGAGTTTACATCATTCCTCTCTTATAAATATAAAACACATAAACATGTAACTTTTCTTTTCGGTTGAGTAACTTCTCTTTAAAGAAATTTCTATCTAAACTGTGATTGTATGCACAAGCTGCATTCAGCACTTTTTTCAGTGGCTTCTGTAATTTGCTGTGGTTTCGGTTTGCAAACTTCCCTGAACATTAAATGCTTAATCGGTGCCGAGATCCATGATTATTTATTGATTTAGATGTTTTTTTACTGATTTGGAAGCAGATGTCAATTCTTCTGTTTTGTCTCAATGCTCTTCTGTGAAAACTATTTTCTTCCACAGGCCAAGAGGAAAGGAGGAATCAGACACCTGGTCTACTGGTATACAGCCAGTTTAGTATATAACTGCACTTTCTCCTACTACTCTCCAATTTTGCATCATTTGCTGTTGGTTTCAGTTCTTTAGTGATTCTGGACTGAAAAGTCGGATTCTGGATGTAATGTTTTACGTCCTCAGTTTTTCGCATATTTTTCTTCGGACTCTGACTTTTCACCTGTTTTCCACCCAGTTCTTGTGTTTGTTCATTTCTCGTCAGGTGGAAGATAAAATCATTGTGTATCAGTTAAGTTGTGATTTATGTAAAGAGACAAATACAATATTGTTAATTTTGGCTGCAGATCAGCAAAGAAGTAAAGAAAATCAGAGCTTCAGATTCCTTCTGAACGCGCTGCGTTAAATTAGGACATGTGATTGGTTTGTTCTGATCAGGTCCATTTAGAGAACAGCTGTTTGTGTCTCCATCATGATGCAGTGTTGTATACACAGCAGGGGGCCCTCCCAGAGCCAGCATATTTATTTATCTCAGCTCATTCTGGTGCAACATTTCTCTTTCCTTGCGTTGGATAAATGCTCATTTGTGAGCTGAATCAATCATTTCATGCAACATTTGAGAAGACTAATTGGTTTGCGGCAGGAAGGTTAGCAAATGCCTCACATTCTGAAAAAACCCAACAGGACTGGGAACGTGTTCGGCTTGTTCTGGGTAGAACTGATGGAGTTGCTTTTTTAAACCATAATTAATTAAAACATTTCTTCTTCTTCTTCACTTGAAGATGCGTCTCCTAACGTTGGTGCTGGGTCTGACCTTGGTGGTTCTGGTAAAATGTGAGTATTTTTGCTTGTTTCCACTTCCTGTGCCAGTCGAAGCATTTATTGGCAAAATATTAAGTTTTTAATCAGATACAGATTTCAATTTCAAAGTTACGTGCATTTTATTTAAGATTTAAATACTCAAACTCCATCATTTATGTTTCTCTTGCTCTGTTTTAGCCAATGACTGGTGCTACCATGGTTGTAGTAAGTAAACTATTATTTCTGATATATTTTTTGTCCGAATTGGATAGTAACTACTTACATTTACATGAGTAACCTTTTGGAAAAAACCTCTTTTTACTTATACTTAAGTAATTTTATTATGAAGTATTTCTACTCATACTTGAGTAAAATTTCTGTATATTCTGCCCCCTGAATGAGAAACAAACATGTTTTAATCTGAAATTCACCCGACTCAGACAAACACCTGCAGTTTTTGTTAGTGTTTTATTGAAAGAAACTGTTTTGAAGACATTTTCTTTTGCCTAATTTTGTAGTTTTTTGTTATTTGTGCTTAAAATACCATCATTTCTGCTTATCTCACGTTGAAGTGGTCTGACGTCAGTATGGTTCTGCCCGCTTCTGTCCGTCATATTTGCGGGTTTCCAGGCTCTCACAGGACTAAAAGCATCTGGATCTGTTCCAGGTCACACTCCAGAGCATTGGGAAGCCCTGGATGGATCTCACTGTGGAGAAACAAAACAATCTCCAATTGATATTGTCACCAGCAGCGTTACGATTGACACAAAGTTGAATGATTTCAACTTTGTTAATTTCTCCTCTCAAAACACCATCAAGAATATCAACAATAACGGACATTCAGGTACAAAACTGGACAGTATTCAAAACATGCTCAACTCGATTTGAGCCGTTTCATTTTCTCCATCTTTTCTTCAGTGCAATGTGACATTGAAGCGAATGAAGTGGAAGTGAGTGGCGGTGGACTGGATGGTGAATATTCTGTACTGCAGTTTCATTTCCACTGGGATGTAACAAACCAGTCAGGGTCTGAACACGCTTTAAATGGCCACCGTTATCCAATGGAGGTGAAGTTTTTAAACATCCTTCCAGTTTTCTAATGGTTCATCTGATTGAGCATCTTTTGCTTACCGAAGCGTTTTTGTCTTTGTATCTGCAGATGCACATAGTCGCTGCAAAAAAAGGAGTTCCCCTGAATGAGTCTCTGAGTCTTACAGATGGACTTGCTGTTCTTGGGTTTTTTATTGAGGTGAGTTATAAACTTTTTCCAGTTTACTCCTTTGACAAATTTTCCTCATCTAACTTGAGAAACATACTGAACAGGGTTTCCACCTCCGTACCACGAATGAGCTTGAGCTGCATCCCAATCTGAAGGCTTCACTATGATACTGGCTCTCTGAAAGCGTTATAGCAGAGATGGAAACACTTTAGCCAAATAAAGCTGCGTTCACACTGCAGTCTTTAGTAACTCAAATCCAATCAGATTTTTTTTACTGCGGTCGTTCCCACTTCCAAAAATAAGCGACTTGGATGTGATGCCCAGTGTGACCTGCAAACGACCTGCTGTGTCCTGCATGCACAGTAGAGGGCGCAATAAGGTCCCAGATAGAGAGCGTGCTCATTGTGTTTGCAGGGGAAAACGTGGATGCTAACGGTGGAGCATGGCTTTTGATTTTGAAGTTGTTGTCCAACAAATTAACAACTTAATCCTCATTATCGTCCAACATGGCTGTTGTTTTTCTTCTCGCTTGCGTGAATCAGATCGCAGATTAAGGACATTTGTTGAGTATCGTGACTTTCAGACTTTCTGGTGGTTAGGAGACATTTGAATCGAATATGTATCAGATATCAAATAAATCTGACTTGTGTTGTTCAGACTGTCAGGAAAAGATCAGATGAAGGTTGCATCACGAAAAACAAATGGAAATCGGAACTGGTTCACTTCATGCCACAGTGTGAACGCAGCCTAAGTTCTGACGTAGCAAACCGTCCTCTCCTCTGCTGGTCGATGCCTTACCAGAGGCACAAATCGTCTCCAGTTTGGTTCATGCTAGTTTGAGGATTGTGCAACATATATTTCAGTCAAACATAATCCAGTGACGTCGCGCCTGGTTGATTCACTCTTAAGCACACTTTCTAGATATTTCCAAAGTTTGCCCCAGAAATGCAGAATGAGCTGGATCCCCTTCAAGTTCATCACGTATAAAACAGTACTGCTAATCTGGGCTTGTAGCTACAAGGTCAATATTTAAGCCCCTCATTTTTTTAGATTCACTGAATTCTTTTATAAAATATCACAAGAACTGTGGTGGGGTCTCCGAGAACATACATCTAACTGCCTCCATGTCTAAATGCTAATGTGAAAACAGTGTGTATTTTATTGTACATATTTGACGCTGAATGATTTATTCCTAAAGGCAACAGAAGATGAGAACTTATCTTGGCCGTGGAAAAAACTCACATCCTACCTGAAAAGCATCACAGGTAAGTTTTTCGCTCCACTTAAATTCCTCTGTTGAAATATTGTTACCAATGGGAACAATGGGAGAGTCTGAAGTGGAAAGTGTTGACTGTGTTTTTATCAACAGGAAGCAAGAAAGACACCACAAATAAAACCAGCAGCAATTACCACAGGGAGAAACAACTTTCCTGCATGATCTCAATGTTTAGTGTCAGCAGTTTATTCAAAACATGACGCGGCAAATTACACAATGTCACAGTTAAAAGAACTATTTCACTTTGAGCTCAGATGGGTTTTAAATCCATTTGCTGTTGCTTTTAATTCAGTTGGTATTTTTTGTTGTACTTTATATTGTATATTATTCTTAAGTATGATTGAAATTAGACTTTCTTCTGTTTACAGAGGAGGGCTCTAGTGTGAAAGTAGACGACATCACTATTGATGATCTGATCGGTAACGTGGATCGCACAAAGTTTTATCGATACAACGGCTCTCTGACGACACCCCACTGCGAAGAGGCTGTCGTCTGGACGCTCTTCCACGAGCCCATAAAAGTTCACAAAGATTTGGTGAGGCGACTTTCCAGAACCGGTGAGGTTCGGGTTGTGCTGAGCCCACAAAGAGGACAAAAGGTTTTATTTCACATGAACCTGCAGTCGTTTAAGGTTGGAGACATTGTGCTGAACAGCAGGTTTTGCATATATGTATCATTTCATGCAGGGCTTAGTCATTCCAAACAGCTGACCCACTGTGACCCGTGGTTGGAAATCTCTTATGTCAGCATCCACTGATGCATTCAAGCAAGTGTCATAAGATACAGCGATATACAGGTAGGACCAGCAGACATACTGGTACCTACCCGCGTCTTAATCAGGGTTTGCCACACGCCACACGTGACTGCAGCAAAACTCAAAGCAAATCTGTGTCTGTGTGTTGGCTGGAGGTTGATAAAGATCTTCATCTGATCCAACTGACACGATGATGACGCTTTGATTTAAAAGTTGCTCATACTTTAGGCTGTGGTTTGTTGTGCTAAATATATTAAAGTGAGAAGAGAAAAAACAGGTTAAAGCGTTGAGCGAGAGCAGAAAGGAAGACGGCTGCGGCTCGCTGTCATCAGGCGAAACGCCTTTAAACAGCAACCTCTGCAGAAGTCTATCATTTTAATTCACTGCAGCTGTGCAGTGGAGAGAAAACTACAGTACTTTTACTCTTTTAAAACGTCTAGTTTGTGAGGGTGTTCTGATCTCGTCCTGTTATTTCCATAAGATTGGGTCGGCACGTTGCAGAAAAAGCCATTATGTGAGTGAGAAACAAAGTGTTTATTTTGTCACCACCCACGATGTTATAGAAAATAGGGGCGGTAAAAACATATTTTAGTTAGTTTGCTTCAGATGTGAGCTGCAGTTGGTTGTTTTTATCATGTGAAGCTCTTTGAACTGCCTTGTTTCTGGATTATGTGAAATTGAAACTTGATTTGACTCGACTTGAACTATATATGGAGTTTGGATCGGCTCCATTTAACGGTTTATTGCAGTAAAATAACGCCAAATAAACACAAAACCTGCTTATTACTGTATATATGGTTGAATCTGTAATAAAGTAGCCTATTGTGTTTTCAGCTTCTGCATTTTTCCTCTGAGAATAGCATCGCACCAAACTACCGTCCGATCCAACCTCTTAACGAACGAATCATCACTGCCTCCCCCGCAGGTAAACCAAACTGTTCCAGCATGTCAAGGGCAGTTAGCATGAAGTTCAGGACAATTTCAGTGTCAATATTACACAGCAGTATTGCACAAAACAACACAAAGTGAAAGGAATACATTCAATGTGATCAACTCAAACAGATGAATGAGGGTAAAATCTGCTGGAAGGTGAAACTGGAGGCCTCAGTCACAGCTGAAGATGCAGTGATGCTAATTTGTGTCGCTAATCGTAAGGATAAAAGAACTAAACAGAAAAATAATGAAGAAGTAAGTATTTACTGCAGTTCTTTGTTAGTGTTAAATAATCCATAGAAACTTTCGCTGTGTTGAGGGTATAAAAGAAATAAAAGGCCGAATGGCAACTTTCTTGTCTAGTTTCCATACAACCTGGCTAGCTGGGCCTTTGCAGAAAGTTAGAAAAGAAACATTTATGAAGACACTTATAGATTTAGTTCATTTTTGAGGAGTTAACCACCATAGCAAAACTTCCTGCTAGCAAATTAGCAGGCAGTTTAGATCATGACACAACAAAATACATCAGCAACACAACAGGGACAGAGAAGAAGATGAAAATGAATAAACTGTGACAGAAGACGACGTCTAATCTCTCAACATTGTACCAATTTTACCTAAAATAGTGATTGAATATTTCACAGGATCCAAAGTCTTGTTGTTCACCAAGCAGTCAATATCTCTATTACAAGCTAAATCTTTCTTCTAAATTGAGCTGAAAAGTCTGAAATTTTTACTTTAAAGATAAAAATATATGCTGTAATCTTTCGGTCTTTGATTGTTATTATTGTTCTGATTAAATATGTCTGTTTTCTTTCCAGTTTCTTCTCATCTGTGGTGCTATCACAACCACTGTAGTATGTATCAACCATGTGAAATATAGTTTGATATTATAATCCTGATCTGACTGACATTCAGGTTGTTTTTGATGCTTTCTGACTCCAGATTACGCTCCGTCTCATTGGTCTGAACTGCCCGGCTCCCACTGCGATGGTGAAAGCCAGTCACCCGTCGACATCAGCACCGAGAGCGCCGTGGAGAACAGAAGTCTCAGTTCCTTCAACTTTACTCATTTCGACAACAAGCATGCCATAAAGTCTATCATCAATAAAGGCCACACAGGTTTGGATTGTTCTGTGTTTTAGACGTAGTTGCTGCCCTGCAGGTTTTAGATGCATCCCGGCTGCAGAACATCAAAAGGTTGAATCTCCTCTTCAACGAGCTTTTAAATTTGGAAAAGGCCATTCAGCTGATCCAGGTTTGCTTCTCAGACCTGCAGGACAGTGGATGATCAAATGTCCATGAAGCATAACAATTACAGCGGGAGAAACCAGCTTCTCTCATAATCGCTGTATGTTTTAGCCTCCAAGTTCGACTATTTCAGATTTATGCTACACTGCAAAAACTCTAAATCTTACCAAGTCTAGTTTTTGTCTAGTTTCTACAAATATCCTGGTACAGCATTTGTTGTTTTTAACAGTGCTGTGCGTGTTGAAGGACGATTTGGTGGAGGTGTCAGGAGGGGGGTTGGATGACTTCTACTCAACTCTCCAGTTCCACTTCCACTGGGGAGCCCACTCCGCCGATTCTGAGGGGTCAGAGCACACCGTGGATAAGAAACGATACCCTATGGAGGTGGCAATTCACCGCCGTGTTACACAGACAAGAGTTTGTTTTATGGCTGTTTTATCCTGTAAATGGTTTGTTTTGTGCAGATGCACATCGTGAGCAAGAGGAAGAATTTGACAATGGAAGAGGGTCTAAAGACTCCTGATGGCCTGGCAGTGCTGGGGTTTTTCATCGAGGTAAAGACTGACATGCACTGTAAAACATTTAGGCCACATTTAGTTGTGTCTACTATCTTTACCCTATAAGTCAAAAATTTTTTTAGTGAGTTTTAAATTTTGAACCCAAGTGTGTGAGTTTTTAATAAAATGTTGTGTTAACTTTTTTATTAAGAGTTGAATAAACTGAAGTGTTTAGATTAGCACTTAAAAAACTGAAAGGAGAAAAAGAATGGGAACTATTTCCCAGAATGCTCAGCGGCGTGTTTCTGTCTCCTGAGATGGAAGTGCGTTACATTATTAAGCCAAATGTTTATTTTAAAGTCCTGATCACACTAAATGTTTCTGAGCTGAAATTATTGAGATGTTTAATAAAATTCATGATCAGATCAGAAATTTGGTTCATGGGATTTAAAACTAGAATTTAATTTATCCTACAGCAAAATTAGTTATTTAAACTTTATATTGTGAGTAAAATAATAGAGAAATGCGTCTCTTTAACTGATTGAGGTCAGTTTTTTTCTTGCATATTGTGAAATAATTATTTGGTTTAAAGTGCAGCATTAAGTCAAAACTCTCAATTCAAGATTAATTAACATAAAAACAATGTTTAAGCAACTTATGTCTAATTGTTAAATCAACTTCCTGAACTTTAATTTCTGAGTTAAAACCAAAACAATTTTCTTGTTGAATTAAATTGCATTTTCAAGGCAGCAGGTGGATTTTCATTTTCAAGTTAAACCAGTTTTAAATGTTTTACAGTGTATGTTTTGGGTCCCATTTGAGATCTAACCTCACCAAACCTGTTTGGGACCCACATATACATGCAGTCAGAATTTCCTCTCAGAAATGCCTGTAATCTGAGACAAAATGACACGACTGTCAGCCGTAAGCGTAAATCATGAGACAGTCAGAACAACTTGTCTGACCCCCATCGGATTCGCTGCACGCCGTTTTCCCAGTTATCTGATATCCAGTGCAGGAAGCAGCAAAGATGAAACGACACATTCATTGTAGAGTAATTATATAATCATTTTAGGAATATATTTTGTTAAAGCCAAGTTTGATTTTACCAGATTTCTTTATGAGACATAAAGTTAAAATAAATTGTCTGTTTCTGAGGATAAGATGTTCGGTTGACATTCTATGTTTTCTGCTTTATGCTAAATAAACTTTCTCCATATCCATCTCCAGGTTGCAGAATCTACTAAAAGCACATCCTCCTCAGGTCCTGCAGAAACAGTAAGGCATTATTATTATTATTATTATATATTTCAGTCATTCTGTCATAAGAGGAAATATTTGTCTCATTTTTCGGTTTAGGCGTCGCCCACGTCGAGTTCTGCCTCCAACATGGAAGCCTGGAAAACTCTGACTCGTTACCTGTCGGGTATCAAAGACCTCGGTGAGCGAAATCTGACCTCGTTACATAATGAAAGCAGCAAAAATACATTATACTGTTTACCTAATACAATCATCATCTGATGACTCTGTTGCGTCTGAAACAGAGTCAGAAGTCGAAGTCACAGATGAGATTTCGATCGACGGCTTGCTTGGCAACGTGAACCGTGAATCCTATTTCCGCTACAGCGGCTCCCTCACCACTCCTTCCTGCAACGAAGCCGTAGTTTGGACAGTCTTTAAAGAACCAGTTAAAGTGGACCGACACCTGGTATGTTTCACTCATCACCCCCAACGTCTGACACCTCAAACACTAGAAACATGGGGAAATAATTTGGTTTAACGAAGGTTTAAGCAGCTGAAACAAACCAAAATATTCAATTTAAGGCATTATTCAGAAATAGATCTGATTTTTTTTTTATCCCTTTTGACCCGCTGGATGCTGCTGGGAAGAACAACAAACACAAAACAACAGAGGAGTCAGAAGTGTTACAAGGAGATGCAGTTTTCCTGTAAAACACTATAAGATAGAAGTTTATCCCTGGTCACATGAGAGCTTTGAATGTGATTAAGCCTGAAACATGCCAGCCTGATGTATGTTGAACTTTAAAGGAATGTGCAAATGCAGCTGAAGTAATGTGATCAGATGAGTCACTCCTCAGACAAAAGGCAGTTAAACACCTGCACATTGATGGTGTCAGTAAAGAATGGTGGAGGCGGCAGCGGCGGCGGCGTTCTTATGACACGTGGCGCATTCTCAAAAGGCAAAGATAAAACTGATCCAAATCACAGGGTCACAGATTACTTTAGAAGCACACCTTGTTTTAAATCCGCTGGTGTATGTGTTTGGTTTAAATCTTTATGTCAGTATTTAGAAAACTAAAATTTAGCCCTTTAAATGGCACTAAGAATGAGCCGGGAAGTAAAATCTGTGTGTCTCCCTGGTTTAGTTGTCAGGACAGATGTTATCGTTATCATGTGATGAAAACTTACTGATTAATCTCCCATGTGACTGATTGTCATCAAACCTGCACAAAGACACGTTAGATCTAATCTCTGGTCATTTTTATATTTGGTTGGTATATGTTTGGTTCGCTAGCAGACAAACAAATTAGTTTTAAAACTTATATCAGGGATGGCAAAAGAAAAGTTTTTCCCAAATTACCCCAAAAATATTTTCTTTCCAATAAGCAGATACATCCTGGTCTCTCTTGTATGCAGCTACAAATTTAAAATTAGATGTCAAATATATGAAAAAGAACATTGTTGAAAAAATGTTCATATATTCTAAGGTTGAGATGAAACTGCATGAAAATGATCTCAACTATTCAGATCACCAGCAACAAAAAGGACAGAATCAAAACTGTCAGAAATAGTTTGGATGTTTTCTTTCTTTCCTTCTCATGTAAAGTTTCCGTTTACATCTTGGAAGGGATGAAAGAGACGAGACTCCCATGTTTGACCTGTTTTACGTTTTGCACATCGCTTTCTGGTGCGTTTATATTCTAGAGAAAAAAAATAAAACTCCAGATATCTCACAAACCTTATGAAAACCATGTTAAAGCAGAAAGTACGGTGCATCTCAGGAAAGACTTTCAGTATTAAATTATACCGCATGAACTGATCAGTACATTATTGCAAGAGATTTTTCCCCATGTCCTTTACGGGATTCTCAAATGTCCCTGATGCTGGTTGCTTCATCATAAAAATCTGTTTTGCCTCTATAATATCCTGTGGCTTCATTATATTCTGGAACAACAAAGATCTGGAAATGTCCTTGCTTTTGCTCGTAATCAGAAACGTTTTTTAAAAATCATCAATTAGAATAAAATATTCGTCTCTTCCTTTCCTGACTGAACGTCTTCACTACTGATGTGTCAACGTGACGTTTAACTCCATCAGATGGCGATGTTCCCGGAGAATGCAGGACATCACAACGTCTTCCGGCCAGGTCAGGCTCTTCGTTCCAGGAAGATCTACACCACGGCTGCAGCCTCCAGGCCTGGACCGGGAACTGGACCGGGAACTGGACCGGGAACTGGACCGGGAACTGGACCCGTCTGGGTTTACCTGCAGCTGCTGCTGCTGCCGTGTCTCTGCGTTCTCTTCTCTTAAGGTCCGCTCGTGGAAAAACAGAGTTAAATATGTGAATTATTCCTGAAAGATTATCTGCTTGCAAAACCAAATTTCATCAGTGATGTAAAAGCCTGAGAGGTGATTTTAAATCTGTTTAGTTATGTCTGCATGTCTACAATTTATATTTATGATTTTGCTGTTTCAGTATGTAATACAGATTCTGCCTCATGTATCTTTGTTTCAAATAATTTCATTATTGATAAATATAAAATTAACAAAACAGATTTTAAAAAATACTTTTTTTGTGATTTTTGATGTTTCTGTTAAAACCAGGGAGGAAAAATTGCTCTTTTTTTGTTACTTTTTGAAATAGCATGATGTATTATAGCAATTAATGTAAATGTTTTTTTAGAATCTATGACACTATGGGATTCTTTAGCATAATTTATTGTCATAAAGGTACTCAGAGGTAAGGTTTGTTATGAGAACAGAATATTTAAGAGCATAAAGCCCTTCAGGGTGAAATGTGCGCTTCAGATTTATTTCCATTACAAACCTGATGGTGATATTTTAAAATCTAAGACAAAAAAACAGAAAACCAATAAATAAAAAAACACACTGAAACATTGGAGCCGCATTTAGTAGTTTAGTCTACAATCTTCTTCTCTTCTAATTAAATAAATTTGGTGTTTTAGATGAACTTTTTATTGCGAGTTGAATAAACAGAGTTTTTAGGTCATCACCCATAAAACTGAAATAAGAAACAGAGCTGGAACTATTTCCCAGAATGCTTAGCAGCATGTTTTTGTACCCTTAACTGGGTGAGGGTAGTTTTTTTTTTCTTGCATATTTTGACATAATTATTTGATTTAAATTGCAGCATTAAGTTAAAACTCTCAATTCAAGATTCACTTTAAAACAATGTTTAGACAACTTGTCTCCTGTTGTTAAATCAACTTCATGAACTTTAATTTCTGAGTTAAAACCAAAATAATTTTCTTGTTGAATTAACTCGTATTTTCCAGGCAGGAGGTGGGCTTTCATTTTCAAGTTAAACCAACTTCAAATGTTTTACAGTGTGCAATAGGTTCATTTAGAGTTTGTTGGAATCTGATCCAAAACCTGTTTGCAGTAAAACCCAAATGGTATGTAAATGTTAGAAGATTTCCATCCAGTATTAAACTATTTTATGCTTAACTTTCTGAAATGTCCCTGCAGAAGGAAACAAACTTCCTGCATGCATGTTCTCTTAGGATGCTCCAGTTTTATGCTTTTTTATGCTCAACGTTCTCAAATGTCCTTACAAAAGAAAACACAAAATAGTTTTATGCTTTTTTTATGCTCAACGTTCTCAAATATCCTTACGAAAGGAAACACAAAACCAAACTTCCTGCATGCATGTTCTCTTAGGATGCTCTAGAAACACAACTGTTGGGTTAATTGGTTTCCCTGAACATTCCTGATAAGCAAGTTTAGACCTCAAATAGGTGTGTTGTTGGATAGAGAAATGCTTCTTGAAGCCTGTCAGACAGTGTTTAAATCAGTTTACTGTGTGAAATATCTTTTCACTTATGACTCATTTTGTGAGAACTTTTCCTGTTCGGCTGGTTTATCCTTAGCATGAAAACAATATGTACCATTGTATGTGGAAAAATATGTGGAAAAAAGCTATATTTTTTAAATCTATGATCTCTTCTGGGAAGTCTGTCCTCAAGGTTCAGGATTGTTTCTGGGGTTTTTCTTTGTGAGGTCACCTACTGATGTGGGACGAGAAGGCCTCGCTCTTATGGTGCGTTCACACCAAACACGTTTCGAGCAACAGGGCCGACCGTTTTGCGTGTTGCGCGTCAAGCTCTGCACGATTTGAAGCTTTTCGAGCGTTTTTGATTTGTTTGTTTATTTTGAACAGACAAAAGTAAAAGCAAGAAAGAATAATAAGAAAAAAAATTAAGATTAAAACAAATTATCGTGCCCAATTGACATGCAATTTTATATGATCCGTTTTAAAATACAAGATCTAATGAGTTCTCACCCCTTTTATACTCTTCAACTTACATTACATAAATCTCGCATTCTCATCTTTAAATATACAATTATTTACACATGTTTTATATATTTTCTTATTCAATTTTTATGTAGTTGTTTAGTAATGACTGCATAACGAGATAAGACACAGGAAGATGCTATTTTATATTTTATATTTGTTCTTAAGGAAGGTTTATTGTAACTTATAACTTTTACTATTTGAAAATATTGCCCCCGCAACCTAAGCATCCAAATCCATCCACCAGAAACGTTGAGTGACATTTCCAAACATTAAATAAACATTTATTTAGGCAAAATATGCAGGAGACGGTGGAAGAGTTTGAAGAACAAGGAGTCTCTTCTCTCCGCTCGTCTACAGTCTGACTGCAGAGGGTTCACTGCAGCAAACCCCTTGGTGGATGAGTTGCTCCCACTTTCTTATAACTGTGACTGTGGAATATTTAGGAAACCAGGAAATGACATCCTGTCACAGTTCTACGCTGAAATTCACCGGGCTGCTGAGAGTGAGACATAGAAACAGTCTGCATGCAGAGGTGCTGCAGTTTATGCATCTGTGGGACAATCAGGGTCGAGCAAATACGATAAAGAGTAACTTACTGACAGTTCATGCAACGCACAAGCACAAAGTTGTTCATAATTGTAGATAAAGTGAAAATTTGGTATTTTAAATGCCTCTGCAATTTATTTCTATTCACTCTGATACTCCTCAATAAAATTAAGTACAACTGATTATCTTATTTAATCAGCAGAGAACCCAGTCCTGTTCGGTTCCTGTTCGGTTGGTTTGCTGTTCTGAAAACAGCAAACCATGAAAATATTCAATGTTTAGTCTCAGCGTGAATCCAGATCAAGTTTGAAAATGAAATTTGATGTAGAAAAGCTAAAGCATCAGTTCATGAAAAAACATATCTGCTCAAGACGTCATATGAAAACGGACCCGGCTGTCCTGCAGTGAAACAGGTTTCACAGGAATGTGATTATTCTGTCACCGTCTGCAGTGTTATTTTGTAAATGTTTAGAATATTATCACCGTGTAGCGAAACCTGTCAAACATGAAGACATGCGCTGCAAGAGGCGATTATGAAACACTGGGAGTTTCATCCTGTTCTTGTTGAGCACAATAATGTTTTTACTCACCAAAGAAGAGCTACCTCCAAACTTCATAAAAAACTCAAGGAACAGAAAAACATCTGGAGACGAAGAGTTTTGTTTTTGTTTTTATTATTATGAAAAAGCGTAAATTTCAGTTTCTACCCTTTAATTCGGTAGCTGTGGACGTATTGTAAGGATATTTCCAATGTGAAAATAGAGCAAAAAAAACCAGGAAACAGTTGGTATGGAGTTTTATGACTCCATATCAATCAATCAATCAATCAATCAATCAATCAATCAATCAATCAATCAATCAATCAATCAATCAATCAAGTTTACTTGTGTCACACTTTTCTGTAGTTCAAAGTTTTTTACAACATAAAAACACAAAACATAACAGCCAACAACATTTTGTCAATGTTGCCCAGTTTGCCATTTATTATGACTCAAAAGCAACTTTTAGTCCAGAGTTAAAGGAACTCTGTGTTTTCTGTGTTTTCCAGATTTGTGATGCACAGAAGCTGAAAGCTGTTTCCTCATGTTTGGTTCTGGTTCTGGAGATGCAGACCAGAACCAGAACCAGAACCAGAAGACCTGAGAAGGATGGAAGTTTGGTACCACAACATCAGTGGTTTCTAAACTAACAGTATAAAATGCAAAGTTCTGAACATGAATTAGTCTTCATGAATGTTTAAGACTGTTGTGTAATTCGGTAAATGTTGACACTTTTAATGCAACTTTTAGTGCAACTTTGCATTAAAAGTGTCATTATTTACAGTGAACATGTTGCACACATTCCTGGTCATGACTGCTGTTACATCATATTTATGACAGTAACCTCTTCAAATACAGTATTACCAACAAGTCAAGTTCCTTCTGGAGAAACATTTAATGCCAAGATAAAGACTAATCCACCAGTGTTATTATCAGTCATGCAAGTCCTGCCAGAAACATGCAACAAATCATCAGACTTTGGCAAAAGTAGACTCCGATGTTCAAGAACCATTTGGAGGTTGTTTGTTTTTCTTAGAAGCATCTCTTTTATTTTGGTCTTGCTTTTGTTTTTATATCTGTGCATCACAAGCTGAGGTTTTTGCTCCTTCCTGCTCTGAGACGTGGAGTGAATCAGGAGGTGGATCCGTTGCTGCTGGTCTAAATTTAGAACAAATTCGGGAAGTTGTGTTTGTCATCTAAACTAAAAAAAAATAAAAAAATCTCTAAATTACGGTAAAGACCAGCATCTCTGCTTGCCCAATTTTACCGTATTTAAGGAAAAATACAGTTCAGGGTTTCTGTATTTGCACTGTAAATACTTATACTTTAAACTCTGTTGTTGCCAGAATTTTAGAGTTTACGGTAAAATTCAGTAAAAGTTTACAGTATAAATACCAACTTAGGGTTCCTGTATTCATACAGTAAAATTATGTGGTTGCCAGAATTTTACTGTATTTATGGTAAAATATGATAAAATTTTACCATAAATAGGTTTTATGGTATTGTCGTATAAATTTTACCATATTTGTCGGGTAAAATGATGTGGACCCCCTTCATAGAAAACAAAAACTGTAATTTATCGTAAATTAAAGATGTTGTTTTAGAGTGTACGTCTGCAATAATACACACACGTGAAAATACTGCCGTGCTTTTCTAATTTGCAGCCAGACGCCTGTGAATAGATTGACATGTTGCAATGAGGGCAAAGCACAAATGACAATTAAGTCTATTTCCAGTCTCCTATTGAAAACAAGTCAAATCTCCTGCTAATGTTTCTCACAGTCATTAACCTGTAAAAGCACAAAGTTTCAACCAAATTATAAAATTCAACAATGCAGCACACCAATATTTATTAGTTGGTTCATTTACAGACTGCAAGCAGCTTAGCGTGCTTAATCTGCAGTTATGCATCAAAGTGAGCAAATGTTTAGAATAATTTACATTCCGTTTACAGTTAAACTTTGATTCTGCTGACAAAATGAATCAATGTAGATATTTCTGGATTACATACAGAAAACAAGAACAAGAACCAGGCATTTCCCCTATAAATTGTTGAGATTTCCTCAACTTGCATTACCGATGTAAGGTATTTTAGGTCCGTATGTGATTGATTTGTTCCTTTGATAAGTCATGCATCAGGTATTGACGTCATTCAAGCATGAATTCCTGCAGAAATGAGATCTATAAAAGGTCAGGATGAGGCAGGACAGCAGACACCTGCGTGGAAACACCTGCACCCAAAGGTAGGAGCATCATTTTTTAAAAATCTTTCTACTTTTCCTCACTTTCTAATCAGACATTTTTACTTTTCGTTTTCCATTTATTTGCATTTAGGTAATTGTTAAATGCAAATAAAACATTTTTTTCCAGCTTCTATTCGTATTTGTCATGTTTGTTTCTTCCTCAGATGAATTTTCTGACTATAATCGCTGTTGCTGTGTGCGTCCTTGCACCAAGTGCAGATTGTGCCTCCAACGCGATCGGTAGGAAAAAAGAAAAATAAAATAATATGCACTTACATTTAGGAAAGCGGGGCCTACTAACCGGCTTGATTCTCTTCCAGTGTGGTGCTACCATAACTCCAGCTGCAGTAAGTATCCGCCGGGTTCCTCTGTGCGCTCTAACATCATTTGGCTGCAGCCGCTCAGCTCCTGCCTCTGCCGCAGGTGACGCCACCTGGCCGCTCATCTCCCCGCTCTATTGCAACGGGACGCGTCAGTCGCCCATCAACATCGTGTCCGCCAACGCGACGGAGGACGAGAAACTGACGGAGTTCAGCTTCCAGGGATACGACAACAGATCCGCCTTGGCCACAATCACGAACACCGGGGACACTGGTGCGTTAGACTGCGGAGGCGCAGCATCCGGCGCACGCAGATTTTATCTGGTGGCCAGATGAGTTGCATGAATCAGACGCTGAATTAGCTCTAAACTGGAAGACATCATGGAAAAAATATTAATAATATTTATTTAACAAGATTTAAGAAAAAAACCTTGAGATCTTCACTGACTCAGACGCGGTAAAGGGGAATTTATTTAATATAAATAGATAAACAAACAGCTTTCAAATGAAACTCTAATGTTGCTCACTGTGATATGCAGACAATGTTGAGTAATTGTGCTCAGATTTACATTGAATCTATTTCTTTAATTATTTTATACCAAAGCCTCAACATCTGTGTTTTTTTATGTTGGCTAAAAAAAGGCAGAAAATGTTTTTGTTGGGAATGATTTAACCCATTTTCCCAGAAGACGTGGAGGCTTCAATAAATGGAAGTTATTCACAATTTACTCCATGATAAATTGTGTAAATAATCAAATAGTTTTTTTAATAGAAGGATGATGTAGAGAGTTTAGATATTGAGTCCAAACAATAACTAATCTGGTTTGTTGGAAGTTTCATTTGTGCCATTGGAGGAAGTATTTAAAATCAGTTTTTCTTCATTTCCTTTTCTGCTTCCAGTCAAAGTGAACTTCCATGCTGGCGTCAAGGTGTCAGGAGGAGGCCTGTCTGAGAGCTACGACAGCCTGCAGTTCCACCTCCACTGGGGAAACGGCACGGCTCAGCCCGGATCAGAGCACACTGTGGACGGCAAGCGCTTCCCCATGGAGGTATTTCTAATCCCCATGCAAACGATTAGACCTCGTGTGCGTTAGCTTTCTTTAAAAAAACGTGTTTTGTTTTCATTCCTCCTTCAGCTTCACATTGTGAACAGCAAGTCGACCTACAACACCAACACCAACCTTGCTGTGCAGGACTCTGAAGGACTCGCTGCTCTCGGTTTCTTCATTGAGGTGAGCGGAGATGACCTCATGTTTGAGAGCTTTTCTGGTTTTCTGCAGCTGCTTTACCAACATCTCTCTCCACGTTTGAAGGAGCTGACAGGAGAAGACGATCAGCCAGCCAGCTGGAAGAATTTGACCTCCTACTTGTCAAGCATCTCAAATGCTGGTAAGCTGTGGGAGTGTTTCACGCTCAGCAATAATTAACTTATTTAACAAACCACCTAACTTCCTGAAATTGCCCCAAATTAACTCATTAATCATTAGCCAATAAATTATGAATTTAAAGTTTAAAAAATAAATCTATCTACATACAAGCCGAAATATAATTGTCTCTGTTCTTTTCTTTGTTCATTAATAAGAAGGTGAGGCTGTTTTGTAAATGTGACTGGACACATTGACACGCAAACTCACGGCGTTTTGAGATATTTACAGATTCTGAAAGCGTTAATTATGAGCTTTCTACATGGGAATTAAAAAAGAAGTCATGTTGTGTCCATTAATGACATTTGATTTGTAATTTAGACGCATAATAAAAGAAAAATAACATTTAGTTGTTTTGGCAGAAACAGAAATCTTCTTCTGCACCATTAAGTAACCACTTAGGTCCATCAGTTGTGTTAAATAAAAGTAATAACAGCTGTTGACATGCGAGAAAAGCGTCAGTCAGCAGAGTTGTAACAGAGACTTGTTCTCCGGCGTGGAGCCGTTCAAAAGAATCGATTCACTCCTGAACGACACATTTGCCCGTATCTTCAGTTTTTCTTTTGAGTGGCCCGGTTTTAAGCTGCTTATTCATCATTATTATTTTCAAGCAGAATCTTCTGATAAGCAAACTGCAGGCGTCGCACTTTGGCATTACGACAAACGCTCGTTTACGTGCAGTACCTCACGGACCGCTAGGGGGCAGTGTGGTAAAGCCCATTTGTTTTTGAACGCCTCACTTTGATGCTCGTTTTTCTCCCCAGGTGACATTACCACAATCCAACATAATATTTCTCTGGACGATCTCCTTTCTGGCGTGAACCGAGCCAATTACTACCGCTACCTGGGTTCGCTGACCACGCCTACCTGTGATGAAGCCGTCGTTTGGACCGTGTTCAAAGAACCGATTAAAGTCAGCAAAAACTTGGTGAGTTTCTCCATAAGGGAGGTTCTGATTTGGATCTTGCAGAGTGGTTATTTTCCCATGAGGCTAAGCGTTATCCATCCTCCCTTCAGATCGACCTCTTCAGCACAAGCATGCGCATCAAAAACTCCACCTCTCCTCTGATGGTTAATGTGTATCGAGGCATCCAGGCATCACAGCCGGTGTCAACGCAGCCGAAGGCAAGCTCCTCCACCAAATCTGGCTACTCTCTGTCTCTGATGACCTTTGCCCTCATAATGGCGAGATATTGAAACAAAAGCTCAAAAGCTCAGGTGGAAGGTCAACTTTTGGATAAAACATGCATAAAATGCCAAACCTCAGCCCTGCACATGTTGCAGGTTTTGTATGTGTGTGCGGAATGAAAAGACTTTTCTGCCTTGAACTAACTATGCAACACAAATGCATCTGTTACTTATTTACTCGTTTATTCTTCTTGCACTTTGCAGAAATGTCTGTGTGTTTAAATTGCACTAAAATCGAGCCTGAAACAGTTTTTAGTTTGTGATGAAGGTTCAAGGTGTAACTCTGGTTTATGAAGAACACATTATTTACTGTCATTGAAGATAAAAATGCTTTCAATAAAATATTTATCAATGACTTCTATGTGTTTGGTTTTTAATCTTCAGTATAGTTTTCAGTTTTTACACAAGGTTCTGTGAATTAGTCTGTGATGCAAAACAAACCTTTTTTTGGTATAAAATTATTTGTTCACAATTATATTCAGACTTTTTCTTCATAATTTTATATTTTGTTTTAAATATCAAATGACTGATGTTTTGATCAGATACTCTGTATTAGAGTATTCTTTTTACCAAATGCGTTTTTACTCTCACTTGAGTAATTTCTTAAGAAATTCATTTTCTTCAAGAAGATTTTCTTATTGCATGGATGAAGCATGAATGGATGGATTAACTATTACTAATACATTCTCTGTAATTCATATAAAAAGTGTACTATAGTCTTGGTAAATAACACCTGCGTGATCCCAGAGGCCATATTTCAACCTCTCTTCAGAACTGGAACAAATACCACTACAGAGACTTTGGACTGGTCTGAGTCACAGCTAAACAATGTCTGAATTGTAAAGATGATACGGAGTCATTAAGTAAATCAAACATCTGAATAAAAAACTTTTCTTAAAACACAAACCAATCACTGAGGTTTTTTTAGGTTTGCTTACAGTGAATTCAGATTTGTTTGATCACAGAGACAGAGCGTTAACAGCTGAGCATCGAGAGTCTCTTAGGTAAATAGGTCGCGCTGTTTCCTCAGAACCGTCTCTTGATCTTTGACTTGTCTGATTGCAGTGTCACTGAGGAATGTTCAGAATTTACCTGTGTGCTATGACATGTGACAAACACAATAACCTTCACCTTCAGGTGCACAACAGAAATAAACCAAAATATGTCCTTGAAGGCGATTAGACGAGTTTCTGATACGACTTCAGTAAAGTGTTGTTTGGGTAATTGAGGTGCGTTCCACCTGTATTGGTGTTAAAACAAGGTGCAGCTCTTGTTCCTCATTTGGGTTCCTCTGTTAGGCAAGGCAAGTTTATTTTAAAAAAAAAACATTTCAGCGACAATCAAAGTGTTTCATATGATAAAAACATAAAACAATACATATCAATGACATAGTAAATAACAGGAAAGATATAGTATAATGTTTAATATTTATCAAAGGCAAAGCTAAACAACTTGGGTTTTTGCCTTGATTTAAAAAACATCAGCGCTTCAGCAGTTTTATGAAAGCTTGTTCCAGATTAGAGGAGCTTAGACGCTGAATGCTGCTTCTCCATGTTTGGTTCTTGTTCTGGGGTTGCAGAGACTAAAGTTAGAAGACCTGAGGGCTCTGGAAGGTTGATCCAGAGACTTTAATGAATCTTGATTCCATGATTTATAAAAGTATTTTAAATTCTATTCTCTGAGCTGCAGGGAGCAACAAAACTTAGCTTCCTGGTTTCAGTCAGAACGACAGCAGCAGCGTTCTGGACCAGTTGCAGCTGGAGGATCCGTTCATCAGACCTGTATGTTGCAGTAATCAATGCAAATAAAGATAACATGTGAATTTTAAAAATTCTGCTGAGACATTAGTACTTTAGTCCTGGAAATGTTCTTCAGATGATAAAAGACTGACTTTTCTAACCACCTTTATGTGTCTCTGAAGGTTCAAGATTGATCAGTAGTTTGTAGCTGTGATACCTGAAGCTCTACAGACTCTTGATCCTTTGGTTAAATTGATGTTGCATCTGTTCAATATTTTTGATTGGTTCATAGTCATATAGTGACACTGTAATGTAGACCTGTGCATCATCTGCATAAATAAGGACCTTTATTTTGCTATATCTAAAAACCCGAGTTACACTGTAAAACACTTGAGCCGCATTTAGTTGTGTCTACTATCTTCTACTCTTTAAGTCAAATAAATTTAGCAAGTTTTAGATTTTGTGTGTTTGTGAAAGATTAACTCGCAGTGGTAGATTGACTGTGTGAGTTTTCAAAACAGGAAACTTTTCCAGGACTCAGGGAAATTATCGTTTACCCTCAACAGCCCCGCAGGGCAAAAATCGAGCTAACATGTTGGAAATTAACTGTGGCGATGCACAGTGGGGCAGGTGTCAGCACTGCCTTCACACGCTTGTGGGTGTGTGCGTGTGTGTGTGTGTGTGTGTGTGTGTGTGTGTGTGTGTGTGTGTGTGTGTGTGTGTGTGTGTGTGTGTGTGTGTGTGTGTGTGTGTGTGTGTGTGTGTGGGTGTGTGTGGGTGTTGTTTGCCAACCTCCCTGGGGTGTAACCCACCTTTACAAGCAGAAGTTGGTTGAATGGGTGGAAATTTACCCTGACAGGGAAACACTTTCAACTTTTTCACGTCAGTTATTTAAAGTTTTGTCTTTTTGTTTGCAAATACATGAACATACCCAGGAGGAAACGCACTGGAATTCAATGTTTAGTTGTATTTAGATCTTTCTTCATTTCAGACAAAAAAAAACAAAAACTACAATTAAAGGAAAAAAACTAAACTTTAACATTGACAAAAGAAATCTGAAAAAATCTTTTAGATGAGTTCATTAATACCTGTGCAAATTTTTATACCACCTGTTACATGCAGATTTTGTGTGTTCACAAAATCAGCATTTTTTTTTATTGTTGTGATAATTTATGCAATTTATGTTGCTAAATAGGAAGCCTGCCTTCCTCTATAGGAAGCTTATAGGTCTTCTCCATACATACAGCTGTAATCAGTGTGACAGAAACCCTGTTTACTCTCATTTTCACCCTAACAGAAAGTCACAATTGGTGCAATTTAGTCAAAATACTTTACTTAAGTCTTAAACTGTTATTTAAAACGTATTGGTTTTATGGTTTCACTATTTATTTATTTTATTTTAACTGTGGAAGTGAAAAAGTGTCCAGCGATGCCAGTGGGCCTTCCAGTGTCTCAGAGGTTGCTGTAATTGCCAATTTTCCAAAGCAGCAACAGAGCAGCAGCCAAAGCAACATAAAAGCTTCTGGGAAATTAAGTTCCTGGGTTCAGGGTGGCCCAGTGAAATCACCCTTAAACCCGACAAAAACAAATGTCCTTACAAAAGAAAACACAAAATAGTTTTATGCTTTTTTTATGCTCAACGTTCTCAAATATCCTTACGAAAGGAAACACAAAACCAAACTTCCTGCATGCATGTTCTCTTAGGATGCTCTAGTTTCTCCCCTCATTCTAGAAACACAACTGTTGGGTTAATTGGTTTCCCTGAACATTCCTGATAAGCAAGTTTAGACCTCAAATAGGTGTGTTGTTGGATAGAGAAATGCTTCTTGAAGCCTGTCAGACAGTGTATAAATCAGTTTACTGTGTGAAATATCTTTTCACTAATGACTCATTTTGTGAGAACTTTTCCTGTTCGACTGGTTTGCTGTTATGAAAACATTATATACCAAAGAAAAATATATGGAAAAAAAGCTATATTTTTTAAATCTATGATCTCTTCTGGGAAGTCTGTCCTCAAGGTTCAGGATTGTTTCTGGGGTTTTTCTTTGTGATTTCTGATTATTCATTTTACACTGAGAACTCCATTAAAATAAACAATTCATCTGTGTGAATCTCTGAGGATTTCATTCAAATAGAATTTTATCCAAATATTAATACAAAAACAAGTAAGTTCAGACAATTATATAACAGCAAACCTCAAACTGTTTAATAACAAATATTCAAATATATTCAGCAGTTGCGCAAGGCATAGAAAATCTAACTACCATATTTGAAATTGTGATAACTTAAAAGGATAATTGGTTGAATATATTTTAAAACTCATCTACAACATTTGGAAATCAGAACAAGGCGCCTCAGTTTTAATCTTCTAACCTTCTAAATGTGTTTGTCTGGATCAGATAAGAAGACGTGAAAGAAGAGCTGCATTTGCTGAATAATGGTGTTAAATATCAATCTCTCCAAACAGACATGACGCATTTTTGTCCATTTTTATCTTACAAACACAAAGATGTGAAACACAACTGGGAAGGGAGAGTGCTACTATCCTACAGCTGCCAAATCCTGAAAGTAAACCCTTTATAATCAAGAAATAAATCTGCATGAGGGTAGAAAGGTGCAGAGAAAACAGCCCATATTAGTTAATTATTTACAGAAATCAACCCATTAATTATTAGCATAACAGCAACCAGCAGCAGACAGTCGCTCCTCAGTGACAGAGACGATCTGTTGAAGCTGCAGCTGCAGGACGGTGGCTTCCCAGGATTCTGCGGCGCCGCCGTCGGAGGAGGACCCGGACACCGCAGCCAGTTCATCCCAGTGGCCTTGGGAGAAACGTACTCCTGGTTCATGCCCCCGTCCTTCAGCACCCAGTAGAAGTCGCCTTTGAAGAAGTAGGCGTCTCCTGAAGAATGACAGCAGCAGCAACGTTCAGTGAGGACAACCGAAGAAGCTTGACAGCTGCGTTGAACTGATCCGTCTCTGTGGTTCTGTGCTCTCTGCAGCCGCGGTGATTCTCTACACCAGGAGCATCAAACTCATTTTCACATTCAGGCCAAATCAAGGCCGCTCTTAAAGGCCCGGTTGTCCCAGAATGTATTGATAAAGCCCGGGTACAAACTTTTAAAACATTAATAAATTCTTAAAATTACATTATATTGACTGCTTTTTAACATCAATAAGACCTCCAGGGTTTTGTGATTATTTGCAATAAAAATCAAATGTTTGTGGTACAAATTAAGAAGCATTTGCAATAATTGCATTTATATATAACAGTAAATGTTTTACTATAAGTTGACAGTAAGAAAGTTAACATCACTTAAACTGGATGTTTTTCACCATTTTTACCAAAAAATCTACAATAAACACAATTATGCCTTAGCAAAGAAAAGTGCTGGGATTTGTTGATTCTCCACAAAAATTTCATTTCAACCAAAAGGGTGAATAATCTTTTTTTTTTTTTAAATACACACAAAAAAACTACCAATAACAACTTTGAATTGCTTTGTTGTTTTGGTAACATTATATTTGAAGGGCTGTGCATAAGATTAACGTGATGCTGTCGTAAACATATAACACCTGTTATGAACATGAACCTTGTTTGTGTTTGCAGCTGTGGTTGTCATTTGGTAAATAATGACACTTTTAATGCAAAGTTGCATTAAAAGTCCATTGAAAGTGAAAACAACTTTGCATTATTTGGACAATAATGACCCCTTTAACGCAAAGTTATATTAACAGTGTCATGCATGAACAATTTGATTATTCGCAGAATAACTCCTTCATGTTTATGACAATGTCGTGTCAGTTTTATGCACACTCCTTCAATTAAAGCATAACCAAAGATTTTTACAGTAGTTCTGCATTTTCATATTTTAAATTGTGATTCCCCCTTTACCTTGTAAATATTTTAAACAACATTTGAATGTGTTTTTTTACTTGGTTATTTATTTGTTTACTTATTTATAAAGTAGAGCTGCCTGCGATCCACTGTTGACAACATTCTTCATATGAAAACATGTAGTTTGGTTTATCTGCCTACAGCTTATGTTACCTGAACCCCAGGTGATGACATCATCCATGTGGGTCGGCATTCCCGTCCAGAGGTCATTGCTCCGTGGGTAGCCGGGATCCGGCTCCGGATGGCCTGTTTTTTGGCTTTCGTCAAACCTCCAAAACTGCCCCCCGCTGAACAGGTACGTCTTCCCGTTGTGGGCCCAGACGAAGGCTGCGTCCACCCGGTCCGGCGTGGCGCCGCTCGCCGTCACCATTCTCCAGTCGGAAAGGGGTCGGGGGTAACCGCTCATCACCTTTGTGTCGCTGAAGACCCAGTACTGCGAGCCTGGACACATCAACATGGTTCAAGACTTTTGGTGGATTTCTGCTTTGAAATGAAATGCCTCGCAAAAAATATTCATACCTCCATACTTTAGTGGTTTTTAATGGCATACAGGAACTTGTTTTAAATCATAAAAAGTCCTTAAAGTCCTTACAAAAAGTATTTATTCAACTAGCAGATTATTTTACTTACAATATGGGGAAAATATTGTATTAAGTGGAATTAGTTCTTTCTTTTTATTTACTTGAAACAAGCTCTTGTAAGGTAGTTTTGTCTTATTTCAAGTACACTAAGATATTAGCAATAGAAAGTAGACCAAAAATATTAACATTTTGTTTTCTTTCCGTGGAGTATATTTTATTAATATTAAAACTGTTTGTTTTAATATTAAAAATTGAACCAAGACAAAAATACTTGGTTTGATTTTGTGTTTTTGCAGTGTCGGTTTGGTTTCTCTTTGCTTCCGCAATAGATATTTGAGCAAACTGCTGCAAGCTGCAAACATGTGGGATGAATCAGCCAGGATCAAACTCTCTACTGTAAAACAGAGCCGCAGATTAAGCTGTGGCTTTATTACCGATGAAGAAGATGATTTTGCTGTCGCTCTTTCTCTCATAAACGGCGTCGACTTTGTTTGTTCCTGTCGGAAGGCCCATCCAAAAGTTTGTGATCACAGCCGGCCTTAAGGACACCAGAGAGCCGTCTCGCGTAGTTCTCCAGAAATGTGCACCTGTTAAACAAAGAACGGGGTTAAAACATGACAACAATATTTATTTGTAATTGCTGAACTTTTATGCATGTGTTTCTTCTTGCCTCTGAAGAAGAAAACCTCTCCTCTAATGTTTGCTACTGCGTCAAAGCCTCCCTGGCATCGCTCATCGAATGGAGGCTCAGGACTGAAACAGGGAGAGATTTTAAATGCAGTTACAGGAGAACACCACTAGATGGCGGAACAAGACTAAATGTGACCACAGTTCACAGTTTACACTCCTAATAATGTGAATAAATATTTTTATTTTGATATATTCTTTCAGTGGAAACATATTAAAACATTTCAATTGTGAATCATAACAAAAAGCAAGTCGAGTTTCATGATTTTGTTGAGTTTCCATAATATATATATATATATATATATGTATATGAGCTGCACTGGGCTGTAAGCCTCTGGTTTCTCCTCCTCTCGGTTTCCCACCAGGATGCAGCAGAGGGCTGAGTCTTTAACAAATCTCCTATGCAGGATGCAGCCCTGCGTCTCCAACAGCGAACCGTGGATTCTTTCACCCCAAGCTTACATGCAGTTTATATGGTGCTACTTAAAAGCTGCACCATATAAATTTCTTAGTGTGGTTTCCACTATGAGGAGTTTGAAAACATTTCTCCATAGTGACCCTGGTGGTTGAAGAAAAAAGCCGCGTGCTTCAAACCGTGGGGAAAAAGTAGCAGCTTATAGTCCAGAACATACGGTAATTCTCACTCATTTAAATTCAGTTTCATTTACTAATATAGAGCAAACGTCATCTGGAGACGCTTTACCAAAACAACAAGAAAACTTTTTAATTTAATCCCACTCACAAGTATGACATGTTATTGAGTGGAAAGTTTCCTTTGCTCATTGTGACACCTTGAGCTCGAACAGGATGAGTTCATTTCCTACCAGCATGAAAGATGCCACAGATTCAGACACGACTATAAAAATAATGCTTTGAACAATTTGTGAGAAGTGACCTGACATACAGATTTTGACATATTTTACATATTTCACCTTGTTCACAAGTAAAACACTCAGAGACTCTGCAACTCTTCTGATTCCTGTCTTGGTTGTTCTGTTTACATCTCCAAACCTCCTAACACTGAAACTTTGCAGATTAAGAACAGTCTGAGTGTTTTTAATAGAGACGAGGTGAAGGAGGCTAATGCTAGGATGCTTTATCTTTTCCCAAACCAGTTTGGATTGTTTCCAGATTCGTCGTTTGGTTCCTCACACATGAAAGCCAATCATTCTGGATCAAACTGTAAATAAAATCTAAAATCCTCCTCCAACAGCGACCCAAATTTACAAACTTCATGTCTTCTGAAGGAGAAGACAAAATTTGGACCCAATGACAAGACAAATGTTTGTAGGAATCGACACAATGCTTTCAACAAACCAACCCCGAAGAAACTATCAATCATAGTCATGTTAGCATTATGCTAGCAGGTTTGAATCCTGGACTCACCTGCAACTATTTTATTTTTTATTAGTACTGGATATGTTAAAAAAAAGGACTCTTGTTAATACCCTACAAGTCAACATTTGGGTCCTGAACCAGGAAACCAACCAGTTTAAATCACCAGTTCTTGTACGAAGAGAAGAGTTGCCAGATATCAGAATAATGTAAAAAAAAGAGGCTGAACGCATGACGCACCATCCCAGTGAACAGAACCTGACAGAATAATGTCAGGACCTGGTTGGTTGTTTCCAAAAGCAAGTGGTTCCTCAGAATGCTGTCTGTATTCCACCGAAATACAACAGTTCCAATGAATCATAAAATCCCCGACTTCAGCTTTGGAAACATCTATGATGGCAGAACAGAATTAGAAGTTGTGGTATTTCACTTCTGTGAACTCACAGCCTTGTTGGCCTCGGGGGAAGAGGACTCGGAAACAGCGGGGGGTCAGGATTAACTCCACCTGGTCGTGTGTCGTCTCTGGCGCCTGAAACACAGAATCATGACTTTAAATAGGAACTGAAACCTGATGACAGCATGAGAAAAGTGGCGGAAGAACCATATACTTCTGTTCAGTTCCAAAACGCACACAGCTGAACAGAAGTAGCAGATCCAACACTGATCAGGATTAAAAATAACAATTTTATCCCCAATCTAAATCGCTTGTTTTAAGAAAAAATAAAGTTACCATCAAACACAAACTTCATTTCTAATAACAGCAAGCTGAACTTTTATTTTTCTGTTTTTATGACAATTTTAACTTTAACAAAACTTTATTAGTTTGTGAAAGGGGCTGAAGATGGAGATATTCCCCAGATTATTACAGATTACCTACTGATCTAAAAGCAACACAGCTTCACCTCAGAATATAACACGATTTAACCTCTTAAAAACCTTCTAAAACATTTGCAAATTAATGTTTCACTTTCACTGAAGTGTTTCTAAGCACTTTAGTTTAAACTGTGCGCTGAGTGAATAATCTGAGCCAAACAAAAGATTAATTGGAGCTTTTTCAGAGGCAAAGCAGGGAGTTGATTTAGATCACAACAATCAAACACAACGAGAAGCAAAGCAATTTACAGGAGAAACATTAAAAGAACAAAACATTACGTTTTGCTATAGAAAGTTTAAAACGGTTTATGAAAACGTGCTGTAATCCACATTGTCTTCTATCCTCCACATTGCAAAAACACAAAATGCAGTTTCTACTGTAAATATCGTACTGCTTCAAATAAAACAGAGCTAACCTAAAAGTTAGTTGTTAGTTATTTTTGCCTTATTTCAAGTGTAACAAGATATTTACACTGGAAATGAGGCAAAAATACTTGGTGAGATTTTGTGTTTTGTTCATTTTTAAAACCTTTTTAACCAAAAAGGTCCTAAGCTTATTATTTATTTTTATTTTTATTTAATTTATTTTACTAATGTGAACATCGTTAGTGGAAAAAAGTAGCGGCTTATAGTCTGAAAAATACGGTAAATGCATTCTAGAGTTTGCAGAGCAGAGACTGTGGGTGCCACTGACCGTACAGCTGCTGGATGGCCAGCCTGTCGTCCAGTTCCAGCTTGTACTGGGAGACGTCTCCCACCGGGCCCTGGTAGTACGGCCTCATGATGGACGGATCCGAGGAGGAGTGGGAGAGGCCGAGCGCGTGGCCGAACTCGTGCACCGCCACGGTGAACAGGTCTGTGGTGCTGCCGTCGCCTGTGCAAGTGGAAACATCAGCAAAAACACTCAATCTGACCAAGATTTTGGTCTATTTTAAAGCGCAATTATCTCAGTACAGTTGGTCTGAGACAAAACTAACTTACAAATAAGTTGTTAGTCAGATATTTGAGCATGTCTGAAGTAAATAATCCACTAATCTTATAAGGGACTATTTCGCCTTTAATAAGACATTTTGCCCAAATTATATCGTAAGTGAGATAATCTGTCAGTGGAAGCAGAACAGGGTTGCTGGGTAATGGGCTGGGCCTTGGGTTAGGGTTTAGGGTTAGGGTTAGGGTTAGGGTTAAGTTAAGGGTTAGGGTTAAAAAGGTCTTACCTCTCACTGAGAAGTCACTCGTAAGTTAGTTTTGTCTTATTTGAATTGCAGCAGAAACTTTACCAAAAGTAAATTTTTTGCGCTGTTTCATATTTCTGTCACTGTTATTGTAAAATTGTACCTCCGTAGCTCCAGGTCTCATGGTCGTCAAAGTGCGTGTCGCCGCTGACTTCGTCCGCGCCAGGAAAGAAGGCGTGGGCCAGGGTGCCGCCCGGCCCGTCGAACGGATACCCGTCTTCATGGAGCAGGGAGGCAAACGAGACTCTGATGTCGCCTGCAGCCGCGCCGTCGCCCGGCAGCTGCCTGAAGCTCAGCGGAGCGGCGTCACTCCAGGCTTTCAAGGCGTGAGCCAGGAGACTTTTCACCTCGTTATGGCGAACAGGGGATCTTGACGGGAAGCTGTGGATGCTGGAAATAAGAAAAAAAGACTTTATTAGAACAAACACTTCAAAAACAGAACATTTTACCAGGTATTTTTGGCCTGATTAGTAGTTCAAATATCTTAGTACATTTGAACTAAGAGAAAAATAACTTACAAGTAACTTTTCAGTAAGACATGGGAACTTGTTCTTGGGCAATAATTCATAAATATTGATAGAAAAAGTACTAGTTATATGTCATTTGCCAGTGAATCAATGACTTATCATGAGTCCCATATTATTAGAAGTTACCATATGGGAAAATATATTGTTACACTACAATACTTTACTATGTACAACAATGTTTTCAACAATATTAAGAAATTATTGACCTAAAAAAAGCTCATATTTCTTTGGAAGTATGTCTTGTTATGAGTGAAATAGTCTAATAATGGAACCAATACATTTTCATCAATATTGTTTATTTAACACAGGCTTGTATATTTTGCTGAAAAGATGCTTATAAGTTAGTTTTGTCTCCTTTCAAGTTTGCTAAGGTATTTTCAGTAGAGACTAAACAAAAATATTTGGCAAGATTTTCTGTTTTTGCATTTCAAGTTATTTTCTTGCTTCTCTAAATCAGACAATAATAAGTGAGAATGATTTAACAAGAACACTTTCAGACAGAGTGGGGTTTTCAAATGAAAACAGCTGTTTGCAAATTAGATATGAAACATCAAAAGAGTTAAAAAAATAAATATGTGGTTCCCCTGATATTAAGCTGTGAAACTGCGGTTAACGAAATGATCATGATTCATGCAGTTGCGTGTTGAACCTGCAGAGCAGCATGACAGGAAACACACCTCCATGTGAGATCAGTCTTGTGCCACTTTTGGCCTAACAGAGCGTATCTCTTCCTCCTCCTCCTCCTCCTCATCTCCTCGCCTCCGATGATGTCTGGGAGCGAGCATCGCGGCGTGGACATGAGCTTCAGCGTTTCGCTGTCTGGAGCAACAGTTCGACATCATGTGTTAAACTGAGTGGACAAAAGGAGAACTTAGACAATGTTCCCACTCGATGTGATGCAAGAGCCACAAACCTCAAGGAGTTTTAATGGGATTGTGTGTAGAAAATTACATAAATTCATCTTTACAGTTCAGACGGATTCTGTCAAAAACATCAGTTGTCACAGATCTTCAATTGGATCCAGGTGTGGGCTTTGACTAGGTCATTCTAACACTTTAGCCATTCATTTGCTCTCTATTGAGCTCCATCCATCATCTTTTTTAACTCTGACCATCGTCCTTGTTCCTTTTGAAACAAAAGCATTCCCACAGCATAATGCAGCCACCACTGTGTTACAAGGGAGAGATGATGTTTTCAGGATTATGTGGAGTTTTGTTTTTTTCTTTTGTTTCATAAAAACAGCAGTGGAAAAGGTTCAGTCTCAGCTTTTTCCAAATATATATTTTGGCACCAAATATATCAAAATACATATTTATATTTAAAACTACATGGAATAATACAACCTAAACTTCACTACATGTGGAAAAACAATTTCTATATTATTTTTTGCAGTTGTTTTACAAATAATAGGTTAACATTTTCCTGTTGGGGAAAAATATCAAACTTGTTAACTTGTTTATAGTATATTTAATGTTTTTCAGCTGCTGTTACTTTCAAATCGTTGAAAATAACAATAAATACCACTCTGCACTTCAAAATCAAAATATTCTTGTTTTACTTTGCTATCCTGTAAGGTTAAAACCAACAGCCACAACAACACTGGTTTCATTTAACTGGTTATGAATGATGCTAATGATAGTAGGTATGCTACGCATATTAGCTAGTTTAGGAACGGTAAAACATTTGGTGTTGACATGTTCGGATGGGGAAAATTTAAATTAAAATCTGCTTGGGGCCCCAAAAAGGCTTGGACCGGCCCTGGAGGTTTGACTGTAACATGTCAAAACATAAAAAAATAAATACTTTTGTAAGGCAAAATATGAAAAACATCATTCGCAAATCATGTTTTTTTTGCATGTGTGTATTCTACCAATTAATCCGGTTTCCTGGATCCCTCCGAATCTCTGCATGACGCGGATCGCTTGCTCAATCCCTTCTTTGGTCTGCAGTTTGCTGGTGCGTGGATCTGGAGGGGGAAGGTAGCCATATCTGCTCAGCCAGTCCTAAACAGGAAGGGAAATAAGGAAACTAAGAGAAATGAAGCAATTCGCAGAAGAAAAAACAAAGAACCAGCCTTGTTTTTATTGCTTTTGGTAAATTACTGGCTGATGCAACAAAGACAGGGAAAGAAATCTAAATCATTTGATGTCACACCAACTGCAACGCCGATGACGTCAGGAGCAGCAGCAGCATGTCGGCCTTTATTGATGCAAAACCTCCATCCTCATTACGCAGGTTAGATATCAGAGCAAATGTTCTACTTCAAATTCATTTTAAAAAGCCCAGATGTGACAGAAACGTCTTCAGAAGTTAAGAAATGTGATTTTGAAACCATGTGAGGCTCCACCCTGACAAAGCGTTTGATTTCGCAGCCAAAAGGAAAAGGTGTTGAAAACGGTCTCTTTGTGGTTTTCTGGGTGTTTCTGGGTGGCTGCTGGTTTGTACCTGACTAAAAGGAAACTTTTGTGCTGTTATACTGCAAAACTTAAGATGTTTTATCCCAGGTGTGTCATTTTGGAACAATGTCCTCAAAGAGCCGGTGGATGCATTTTGGAAATCTTAATAAAACACTTTCTCAGCATTTAATCTTGTTAAGATTAAATTATATTAAACATATTTTCACTTTGTTTTTATGTTTTGCACAATGCAGAAAAACTGCTTTGATTGGATTGTGAAAATAATATTTAAGTACACAACTGAGGGCCACATAAATCATATGTCGGGCCAGATTTGGCCCCCGGGCCTTGAGTTTGACACACATTTATATTGTTTTTTTTCTTCTTTTTAATCTAAAGAAATAATACATTCAAAGACAGAAGAGAAAAAACCTGTTTTGACTCATACCTGCCTTAGAAAAGTGAAATGTTTCAGAGAAGTTCTTGTTTTTATGACTTTTCCACTTATCAGTTATTATTATGTCATTTATAATATTTATTTTTAAGGAGAAAAATAAATAAATGTAACTCTTGACAGAATATTAATTGAACTCTTTACTGTAAAAAAAGACATTTTGTTTTGCCAATCCTTCATAAAGTATGAGTTTTTGTTCTTATGTATGTTTTAAATGATTCTAAAATGAAATTTAAAATTGCACATGTTTTGTAAACATTCTACAAATGTGACAGAAAGAGAGGTTATAATTTAAGAGAAGAAATAAATGTTAAAAATAATGCTTCTTTTTTTATCTGTGTGTTTATGGAATGGATTAAATGGTGAGTTTGAAAAAAGTACAAATATAAACCGACTTAAAAACTATTTTAAAAAAGGAGCTCATTGGGAAATAGACCAAAAATGCAGTTATTCATGTTAAAACTATTAATTATGTTATTAAAATGTTAAAGGTTTTGCAATATAGCACATGCAAATGAGATGCAATTTCGCCCTAAAAACCTCCAAAGTGCTGCAAACATTAAATTCACTACAAGCGCAATTCCGCTTCATTTTTCTGCGTCAAATTGGAACATTTTTGCACCACAAAGCAGCAGGAGAAGCGGTTCACTCACCACCGCTCTGCTGTACTGGTTGGACTGGGCCGCTGCGCGTCCCGTGAAGTTCACCATCATCACCATCATCACCATCCACAGCTCCAGCTCCATCCCTGCAAACAAAGCGCGGCGTCATCCACTGAAACTTTGGAAACGTTTCCGCGTGAAAGCGAAGAAGAGCCTCATTTCACCGCTGCGTCTGCGCCGCATCACGTCTGTCTGCGGAGACCAGGCTGCGCTGATCGATGCGCCGAACCGTCTGCGCTCCTTGTGGCTGCAGAGCAAAAAGGTTCTGCTTTTTATTTCCGACAAGCGGATGTCGAGCGCATAAGTCACCGGTGGAAACAGTTTGTGTCTCATAAGGCTCGTCCAAACTTGGACTCCTGCTGCTCTCGCAATACTCAAACTGCCAACGCGGATCTGTGACGTCATAATAAAACATCTATTAAGTTGAAATTGAATGTATTTTTGTTTGGATTTAATTTCTTTTTGTAGAAGTTCAACTCAAAGGAGCATGAAGTTGTGAAGTAAAAGTAATTACACATATCAAAATTTTTTATGGGTGCTAAAATCTGAAAGGTGTGGCATGCTTTTTTTGCACTCTGCCAAGGTAAAGTATGTAACTTTTATTTAAATATTTATATATTTTACATATTTGTTAATCCTGTCATCATGTCTTGACAGTATGTTATTAGACAGATAATGTGTGGATCTCCTCAGGCACCTGGCTGAAACAACCAATCAGAGCCAGGAGGAGGAGCTTAGCGCTGTCAATAAATCTCTTGTAAATGTGCAAATGGTGGAGAAACAACTAACTGCAACAGAAAAAAAAGTTTATCTGCCATCATCAGTGGCTATGCTAACTAGCCTGAGCATTCATGGCTAGTTAGCCAATGTAGCACATGGAGCAATGAATGACAGCGCTAAGCTCCGCCTCCTGACGCTGATCGGTTGTTTCTATTTAATACTGGGAGAAAACAGAGGAGCTTAATTTTTTTTTCCACAGATTGTCTCCTTAAACTTGAGCTTCAGTTGTCAGTAAATACGTCTGAGCAAATAATTATATTTGATTACTTTAAGCTAAAGTAATCAATAATCAATAATCAGTTATTCTGGGAAACTTTCCCAGAATAAGTGTCCATTGTGTTTTTGTAAATATTTGGATTTTTTTTAATATCATATTTTAAATTGTTCAGTCAAGCTTCAATCAATTGAGTTTATTTGCATATCACATTTCAGAATCAGGGTTCATAAAAATATCACAGTCATATTTTGTTTCATCATCAAAATAATCAATACACATCAATCAATATTTAAACATGATTGATTTTTTTCTATTTAAATTTATTAAACTCAAAAGAAATCAATTAACATGAACCTGATTTATTTGGTTTCTGTTGACAGAAATTTTACGTCTCAAAATGCCGAGTCGTCATTTTTTTCCTCCTGAATCGAGCTGCTTTCCCAGTCTGGTTCTCCGCTCTGATCCGTCCTGTTCGCACGAGCGACTCTTCAGGAATGCCTAGAGGAAGTTCCAGTTCGGCACCGCCGTCCGCACGGACTTCAACAAAGACTTGATTACATGATGAGGGTCAAAGGTGAAAAGTCTCAGCAGTTCCGACTTCAGATGAGAAATCAAAGGAATTCATTCTTTGATTCCGACAGTTTTCACACAAAAGTCTCTCAGACGAGGTGGTAACTATTTATGTCTGGAAGGTCAGAGGTCAGCTGAACAAACGTCCTTTTCTGATGGAGTTTAACGTTTTCTGAAGATGAAGTGTAAATTAAATCCTGTCAAAACTTATAAACCTCAGCATTATGCTTCCTTGAACAGGTTAGAATAGGACTGTAGGCTTTACAAAACAAGTTCCATGTTTTTCAAACAAAATCATTTTATATAAGGAGATTTCAGCCTGCTCAGTTCTGCCTTGTCACTTTAAATAAGCGGCTGCTGGCCACGCCTCCCAGCTCAACATTTACACTTGTGTAAAAATGGCTGCAAACTGATCTGCAATCATACAACCGTACATTTTGAAAAGCAGAAGTGGAGCCTCCTTCATAACCATCAGGAATCCAGAAAGTGGTTTCTGGATGGTAAGTGAACAACAAAACACTTTGGCTTTTCCAGCAGCCATTGCACAGTTGTGAACCCAGCTGACCAAACATGCTGGAGCTCTGCTAGGGTTGCTAAGTAACGGTCGAATTGAGTCTCGCAGTTGATCGAGACTCAACAAATGTGAGGTTTTTGAAACGGCTCATTTTCCAGACATCACAAAACACGAACTTATTACAAAATAAATAAATGTTTAGGTGTTTTTTAGAAGCAGGAAAAAATCAAATTATAAAAGTGTGAATTTCACATCAAATGTCTGTTTTAAAAATGGAAGCATAATTTGGAAAAATGTGCCAGATGTATTTTTAAATAATTGTAGGTGGAAACTAATAGTTTCACACACATATAATCATATATCAGTTATATAAAGTTAAACTGAATCTTGGATAAAATCTGATCATAAAATCTCAACTTTAACTGAAAAGAACATAATTATCATTCAAAATGTCTTTTTCTTTTTGTCATTTTCGCTTTTTAACAGGAAATAATTCTCCCTTTATTCTGTAAAGATGCAGATGATGCTGCATTGAGCCGAAGTGCTCTGGCATTTCCTGTCTCCTCTCAGAGACCCATTATGTTTGCAGGTCAACATCTTTATTCTCACAGCAAACCATCCATTGTATTATCTTTCCATCTTCCTCCCCCCTTCCACTTCCTCCTCTCCTCTTGTCTTTAATTTCTCTTCATCCCCCAGGACTAAAGTGAGTCATGCCATTAGCACATAATGCAGAGCTGCTAATGGCTGTCCAGTTTCCGTCATGTCTCGTTCTTATTTCTGCCCCGTGGAAAAATAAACGCGTTTTTTTTTCAGCTGCTCAGTGTGTCCCACTGTCACATCGACGTTAATAAATTGGGCAAGAAAACAACAGGCCAGTGAGCCGAGCTTGTTCTCCATCTTTGCTCTTTTCAATCCACCTTATTGATTTCTTCAAAGCTTAGGCAGCAGCTGCAACATGACACCAGTTCTTCATGTCATACTCAATGAAACAGTTTTTAAGCACTTAGCCATTTACATATTCAGCAGATTCAGCCATGATTCATTTTTCCATCATCCAAAATCTATATTTATTAATTGTTTTAAGCGTTCTGCTCTTAAGATCTGACTGAAAATATTGGATTTTAAATGTTTCTGAATTTGAGTTCAAATGATTTTTGTCCGTGTTAAAGTCAAAGATGATTAATCGCAACCATATAATTAGAAACATGAACGACCAAGGCGAAATAATTCGATTTGACAAAAAGTCGGAATCGTGTCACTTCAGGCTGCAGTGTGAACGCAGCCCAACTTTTACTTTGAAATGTTTGTGTAATGATTTGTCTTTGCGCTGGTTTTGACTGCAGTTGTTTCAGCTCATTTGTTTTTTGTATAACTCTTACTTTATGAGGTGATCATTTGACAAAATGCAACAGATTAAACAAACCACATGTTCAAGTAAGATCACATTTTTATTCTGTCTTAGAAACAATTTTAATATTTAATCATCTGTTAAGACTTGTGCTGAGTAAAATATACCACAAATGCACATGAGTGTATGACACACCATTTTATTTTCATTAAAGGGATCCAAGGCCTTCACAAAAAGGGGTTGACTCTTGGTAGCTATAGAGTACTAACACAACACGTGACAACAATGAAACCTCAACACAAATAACCTGTGAGAACAAGTGAAAACACAAATAAATAGGAGATTTTAAGGACATTTCATATGAGTTGCATCAACAGAATCGGAGGAGAAAAAGTGAGCAGAGCCTGAATCTCTGTAAAAGTACAATAAAGGCTTCTGTACAATATTTGATTTGTTTCTGAGTAGCTGATTGTCTCTGTAGCGCCATCTTTTGGTCATGCACAGCTGGTTCAAGTGTGTAGTAGTTTTACGTTTCCTCCTCCACCCCCGATTGTCTCGTTGAAGTGCTTGCATTTTAGTTTGACGTGCAAGAATTTCTGATTGTCCCTCGCTGAAGAAAAAGTGTCGTTAGTGATGTACAAAACAGTTTAAAAGACTTTGTGAATCAGTTTGTAATCGCTTTAAAAGCCGCTGCTGTTTTTTTTAACTGACTGGATAAAAATATTCCCCAAATTAATATCAAATATAGAAGAAATTTGCTGCAGATTTCATTTTTCAGGGTAGAACCTATAACAGAATGGCAAAATTGTTATTTTTGATAAATTGTCTTGTGCTTCAAGGATGATTGGAGCCCAGATCATGCGACATTCTTTCCTCTAATGACGCTTTGCAGACTCACACAGTTACGTTCTTCCCCCACAGACGTCTGTACAAAAATATGCAGCCTCAGTGCAGTCAGGATAGGCAGGATTTACACTTTTTATGGTAGATTTTTAAAGTTTTAAGTACAAGTGATTGCCATAAGTGAGTCTAAAATCTTCACAGTCGTCTCACAGCTTAGGGAACAAGCTAGTTTATCACAATATGGTTAAGCTGCTCAAGTAACAAGAGACAGTGGTTGCACTTCACAATACACCTGAAATATGCTGATTTACCTGGGATGATTGATCTGTGTGTGTGTGGGTGTGTGGGGGGTGCATGTGTGCGTGCGTGTGTGCGTGTGTGTGCGTGCGTGTGTGTGTGTGTGTGTGTGTGTGTGTGTGTGTGTGTGTGCGTGTGTGTGTGTGTGTGTGTGTGTGTGTGTGTGTGTGTGTGTGTGTGTGTGTGTGTGTGTGTGTGTGTGAGTGTGGCACAGCCTTGCACTTTTCTCAGACTCAAATGTATAAAAATTAAAAACAGTTTTTCTAAAAAATAAAAATCTAAACTTTAGTTTGAATTTATTCTTGAACATTTTGATTCTCCAGTTGCTTGCAGTTCTAGACAACGGATGGATGGATGGATTACTTGGGAGACGAACACAAGGCATTGCATGATTGTGAAATGGGAAAAAATCACTGCAAAAACACAAAATCTTACCCAGTAAATTTTGTCTAGTTGAAATAAGACAAAACTGACTTGCAAGTGATTTTTCAACAAGATATATCAACTTGATTGGTTCCTTAATATTGATGAAAAAGTAATAGTTCAATTGTCAGATTATTTAACTTAACAACATTATTTTTCCACATTTATATCAAAATATTATTGGCTTAAAACAAGCCTTTATATTTTGCTGAAACATTACTTATGAATTAATGTTGTCTTATTTCAAATATACTAAGACATTTGCACTAGAAACTGGACCAGAAATACTTGTATAACAATTTGTGTTTTTGCAGTGATGGTAGAAAACGTTTTAGAAATAAAATCCTGAAAATTCAGGCCATCAACAGCTACCGTTGAGAAATGTGATTTAATTAAAACATTTTTCAAACAAAAGCACAACGTGTGCACAATCTGCAGCACAACATATCCAATGAAAAAAAATAAAACAAAATTTGTAAATAATAAAGGAGAAGAATTAACTCTGCAAAACATGGTGTTGGCAGCATGATGCTGTGGGGATGGATGGGGCGCAATGTTGGAGAATTCAGGTAAAATCAATCTGAAAAAGACTGGAAACTTGAAACAACCATTAACATCATGTGTGAGAATGGCCTACTCAAAGGCCAGACGCAAAAATATTGAGAATTTCAAACAAGACTACTAAATGAAAGTTAATAAACGCTTGCTTGAGTTATTTCTCCAGGAACTTGGAAGAGACGCACCATAAAAACCCAACTGCAGACTAAATACAAATGCCCACCACACTTTACAGATTTTGAAATGTAAAACATTTGAATTTTAAATCTTCTCTTCAATCTTCTATTTGATGAAGGCAATTGTGCTTCCTTGTTTTTATTGAGTGGTATCAGAGTAAAAGGGGACTGAATCCAGGTGCAGACCACCAATGGAGGATTTTCTTCCACTTCACAATCATGCAATAGTTGTTTTGGTTTATCACGTAAAATCCCAGAAAAACATAAAAAACTTTGTGGCATAATTTAAATTCCCCTAATTAAATAAATCAAATTATGGAAACAAAGTGATAAAATTATGAGGATTAAATCATATGAGAATAAAGTCAAAATAATATGAGAATAAAGTTATAATAGGCTATTATAACTATTCTCAAAATATTACTTTATTCTTGCATTATTTCAACTCTATTTTTTAATTCTTTTATGTGTTTACACTGTAATACTATAACTGTATATTTGTTTTATTTTATTGGCCTTGTTGCTCCATCGTAGTAATGAGACAAAATCTGAGAAATTCAAAGGGTGTGAATATTTCTTTGGTCCTGTTTGTTCAGCTCTCCTGTAAATCGGGGAACCCGTTCCCCCTGGCCGTTCAGAAACGGAACCGGAACCAGCAAAGTACTGTGAAGTGCAACCAAAGCTGCTTTTGGTTGGTTCTGTAAACATTTAATGCATTTCGGGGTCTTCAACCCTCCAAGGCTCCTCTACAGCTCCGACCTGCGCTTCCTTAAAACATGGATGCTAATCTTGCTACGTTGACACGACCTTTACATGCCCTTCGTCCTCTTCCTCCTCTTTTCTTCTTCTTTTGTCCATCAGCATTCGCCTGGAGCTCACTGTAATCTGGCCCAGTACTGCCCCAGGTTCTGACTCATGCTCTGCGGCTCCGTTCCTGGGACCTGGACCGGCACCGAAACCCCGGGTGATATGAGCCCTGAGCGGGAGAGGACAGGGAAACGCCACGGTTCTGAATTTAGCAAACACAGAGGGAACTGGAAGGTAAAAATGAGACGTTTCCGCCAAACACCCACCTGTGTTGGAGCTGGCCGAGGGCGGAGTCTGCAGGTGAGGGGAAGAGTACGCCGACGAGTCGAAGCTGCGCGGCGCAGAGGGCGACGGAGGCAACATGCAGGAGTACGAGGAGGCCGACTGGGGAGGAATAGACTGAGAGGGAAGCAAGAGAGAAAAAAAATCAGCTTTAGAGAATGAAGCATCAAGACCAGGGGGGTTCAAAGTGGGGTTCGGGAGCCATTCGTAGACCTTGAAATCTTTAAAGCTGCAGTATTTAACTTTTATAATAAAAATATGTTTTGTTGTGACAGTTTAGTATTTGGTAGATAATCTGAAAAGATCCACCTCTTCCCTGAGCCATTTGAAGAAATGCAACATTCCCAACCAAAAATAACCAATCAGAGCCAGGAGGCGGGGCTTAGTGCTGTCAATCAAGCTCATGTTCTCCCGGCTAAATGTGCTAATGTTGGAGAAACAATTTACCTTTACGGGAAAACCATTTATCCTCTGTTATTGCTAACTGGCTTTAGTGTTCACAACATGCTGTGCTAGCTGCAGCGTAGCTACACAGAGAGTGATTGACAGCGCTAAATCCCTCCTCCTGGCTCTGATTGGTTATTCCTAAATAACACTGGCAGAAGGCAGATATTTTCATAGATTATCTATCTCATAACAAACTGCCACAGCATGTTGACAGTTTTAATAAATACGTTAAAAAATGTTTTATCAAAGTTACATACTGCAGCTTTAATTTCATAAAAGTTTTTCTTTATTTTTGAGCAAGTAAAACCAAAAGAAAAAATAAGAAATCAAATCACAGTATACTAATTTTGCTTTTTTAATTCAATAAATTTTGTGACCAATAGTTTGGATTTGTCAGTTTTGGCTGCCAAGGCAAACAGAAAAGGCTATGCTGGAATTTGACCACTAGGAGGAGCTAGAGGTGTGTAAAACAGAGTGTAGAGCAGCTGGAGTCTGAATCATTCTTAACATTATATGAGGCGTGTTATACTTTTATAATTGCATGGAAAAGACCATTTATGTCTAATCTACATGTATGTAGATTAGACATATATTTAAGCAAAACTAAACATTATTTTTGTGCAGCTATTTCCTTCAGGAACATTTGGAACAATGATCCACTCACTGTGAGAGAATGTTCAACGTTCTACACATTTAATATCCAAATACATAATAACTGGCTTAAAATAAGTCAACAATGTCTGCATTAGAACCCAAAGGATCAAAAATGGCTCAGGTGGACCAAATCTGGAGACTTCAAATTATAGATAAGGGTTTCCCCACAACCAGAGTACGGAAGAGGACACTAAATAATATAAAAATATTAAAAAATATGTAATTCTGACTTTAATTTGCACATTAATTTCAAAATTCTGTTTATATTAGAATCTTGGAATTCTGATTTTAATCTCATAATTCTTTTTTATTTATTTATTTATTTATTTATTTTTGGCACTAATCCTCTCCCGTAGAGAGAGACGCGGCTCAGACTGTGACGCAGGATGAATGATGAGTGTTGAATGTCCAACCTGGACTCCAGATGAAAAGACAGACAGCGAGCTGTAGCTGGGCAGCGACGGCTCCGTTTGACTCAACATGGACCCTGCTGAGACAGAGATGGTGGTGAGCACACACACACACACACACACACACACACACACACACACACACACACACACACACACACACACGCAGACTCACTGAAACCATCTCGCGGTGGGAATATTTAATATGTTTGCACTCTAATGGAGAAACCCTGACTCTTTGCAGGAGCCGCTGTGAGGATTGTCATTATAAACTACTGAAATATTCCATCTTCGGATGTTTAAATCATGTACAGCAGATGCAGCAGATGCAGACCGCTGCTCCGGTGGCGATGGTCTGGCCTTTACCTGAGCTGCTGCCGTGCTGCTGGTGGTAGACGGACGTGTTGAAGGAGGTGTTGAGCGGCGCCTGGCTCTGTGAGCAGGAGGTGACGCTGCCCGACCTCCTCTGGTTGCGCAGCTTCTCCTCCCTCCTCCACTTGGCTCTCCGGTTGGAGAACCACACCTGACAGCCAGACTCCAGTCAGACTCCGGACCAAAACAAATTCACTTTTTCCTCAGAATTCGGACTTTAATCTCCTGAGACTAAAGTCAAAATACTGGGTAAAAAATAAATCAAAATCATGAGAAAAAAGTTGGAATTCTGACTTTAATCTGAGGATTCTGACTCTAATTTCAGAATTATAATTTTTTTTCTCAGAATTTTACTTTAATGTCAGAATTACATTTTTATCAGAATTCTGATTTTAATTTCTGAGAGTAAAGTCAAACTGGGAAAATAAAAAATCAAAATAATGAGAAAAAGGTTGAAATTCTGACTTTAATTTGAGAATTCTAACTCTAATTTCAGAATTATGATTTTTTTTCTCAAAATTTTACTGTCAGAATTACATTTTTTCTTAGAATTTTACTTTAATGTCAGAATTAAATTTTTTCTCAGAATTTTACTTTAATGTCAGAATGTTTTTTTTCCCAGAATTCTGACTTTAATCTCTGACTTTAATCTCTGACTTTAATCTCAGACTCAGGCTGCTCTTCAGATCATCTGCTGGAATCCGTCCTGATTTGCTCACCTGAATCCGGGCCTCAGGTAAATCGATCTTGTTCGCCAGCCTCTCCCTTGCGAAAACATCTGGGTAATGTGTCCTTTCAAACTCTGTGGAGGATATTACATGACGTCAAACACGCATCACAAAAAGAAAAACACAGGACTATTAACAGCAGTTTGCCCTGAAGCTTCAGAAAAAGTTAATCAAAGCTCAAATTTAAAATGAAAAAGAGGCAAATTTTAACAGACTGTGCTCAATGTCGAGTATTAACATTACTACTTATGTTTTAGAGGAACCTTAAATCCAGGAAGTTAAGCTTCCATGCTTACAACCCGTTTTGAAATATTTATCTGTTGCACTTTGTGTAAATTATTCATCCACGTGGAACACGCACAAAGTTCAACTGAAAGAATTCAAGTTGAGAAGCTGCCTTAGCATTTTATTTCAAAGCAGAGATGCTTTAAACTAAACAGCAGAGAAGTACACTTTGATTTTAATCTCATCAAAACTGGTTTCAGTTTGAATTTGGTGAGATAAACCAGTGTTACACTGCAAAAAACACAAAACATTCCCAAGCAGTTTTGGTCCAGTCTCTGGACTCACAAATATATTAGTTCACTTGAAATGAGACAAAAATAAATTGCAAGTCAATAATTCCTTAATATTGATGAAAACGTACTGGTGACACTGAAACATTATTTCACAAAATATATTGTAGAAATGAAATAATCTGTCAATGAACAAAATACTAATTAATCAATATTAAGGAGATATTCTTGCTTAAAAGTCACTTTTAAGTTAGTACACTTGAAAAAAGACAAAGCGTAAGATATTTATACTAGAAACTAGTCTAAAATTGCCTATTAAGATTTTCTGTTTTTGCAGTGTACTAAATCAGAAACTAAGTCTGGGTATGAGTAAACTCCAGCCTTCGATGCTGCAGTTAGACTTTAGGTTTCAGATCGTTATTGCTCAGCAGACAAACTGCTGACATTTCTGTTGTTGACAAGTCAAAACGTGAAGAAGCCCCGCCCTGCCAGGAGCAGGTTGAGACACCATCCTGATCTCCAAGTTTTCAGGTCTAGTTCCACAGAAAGCTCCAAACTTCACACTTCGAAACTGATCAATTAAAACCTCAACACTCAGAGAATAAGTAGCTCCAACGCTGCAAAAAGAAAATCTCAATAAGTAACTTTTCAGCAAGACAAACTAGCTTGTTGTACGTAAATAATTCCTTCATAATGATGAAAAGGTTCGACTTATAAAATAAGAAAAATGTCTCATGATAAGTAAAATATTCTGCCACTGGATCCAGTACATTTTTAAATCAATTTTCACAAATTATTGACTCAAAACAAGCAACCATATCCTGTTAAAAGTTACTTACAGGATAATTCTGTCTTAATTCAAGTGTACCAAGACATTAGCACTATAAACTATACTTGGTAATATTTTGTGTTTTTGCCGTGAAGTTGGGGTTTCAAAACCAGAAACAGTCTAAAGTTTTCTTAAGGAGTTTCTCACGCTACATCAACGCAGTGTGCCCCTTCCCCACCTGTTGCTGTGCACAACAGTCAAGACAGTCAGTCGACAGGTTGACTGTCTTGGTCACACATGTGAAAAACAATTTGGGTGTTTTTGGTTTGGAAAGTAAAAATTATGCATCTTCCTGTAACAGCTGTTGGAAACAATATAACAAACACATTTCTTTTGTTTCTATAAAAGGGACTAATAACTAGAGTTGGTAGTCAACCTGTTATTTTTGTTTTATCAAATAGATTTGTAATTCAGTACATTTATATCTCTGTTTAAGTCTTTCCAAATCTGTTTTTTTGTATCAAATCCAAATCGGCCAATACCTCAGATGTCTGTATCGGAAGTGAATACAGTGAAGTATAAATAAAAACACAAATTATTCATAATTTCTTGCAGGATGGTGCAGAAAGTGATTTTGCATTCATTTTTTGTTTAATGCAGACACATAATGCATTCAGTTACAGTGAAGCTGTTTTAAAACTGCTACAAAACTAGAGCAACTTTGTGCTACCTGTTACTGAGCACTGCTGGTCAGCTGGCTGAACAGAAGATCTTTTTCTTCCCTTACAAGGAGGAAATGTTTGGCAATATTTCAGGTTTTGCGTTACATTTTTTTTTTGTGTGGAAAAAGTGAAATTCCAAAAGTAAGATAGAATTAGATTGAGCCAAAATATGGAACGATTCACTTTTTTTCACTTCTGAAACTGATGTCAATATTGATATCTGAGGTGTATCATTGGCTGATATTGATGCAATACAGAAAAACAGCTGAATTTATTTAAAGCATTTATTTTTTAAAACGCAGACATAAATCTACTGAATGACAAGTTTGTTTGACAACTCTGCACCAGTACAGCGCTTTATCGTATTGCAAGCTCCGTCAAACATGTAAAAAACATGTAAAAATAAACTGCAACAAACCAATCCAATTGTTCAGAAAGTGCAGTTAGGAATTTTAAGAATAATGTAAAAAGTTATTTTTTGTTTATCATTTCCTTTATTTAACCAAATGAACCCTGCAGAGATCTGGATCTCATTTTCAAGAGGACCTTGGCAGAAGTCTGCAATACAGAATAAAAATAAAATAAACAGTATTACAGTCTAAACACGAGGCTGTAATTATGGCTCACAATACCTTGAATTATTTTCGATATCAGTATCGATACATATATTAATATCGAATCGATGTATTTCACCACCAGAGTTTAAATTAAACTTGTGTTGCTCTAATTGGCTTCGTTTTATCTGGCATCTGCGTTAACGCGTCGTGTTTACTGCGCTTCGGCTGCGCGCTGAGTTTCAGTGGACCTCATTACTGTCATCTGCACAGACTGACCGCAGCGATCGGTTTCTGCTCGGGCGCACAGCGGACGCTGCCTCCTCGTTTGGCCCCGGGGCCCTGCGCAGCCACATCCAGTCAGCGGGATGCGGCTCCCTGATCCGGGGGCCGCGTCCCGCTGCAGCAACGACGCATTTTCTGCTGCTTTTCGCCGCTACGGGCCTTTTTGGAACGGAGCGGGAATATTTGCGGAGATAAGATAATGGATGATTTGCATCTGGAAGTTGAGTTGTTTGGCCGCCAGAGGCGCCAATAAAAATCCCGACCTGTCAAAATATGCAAACTGATTTTGTTTGTGATGAATCAGGAAGCTGTGAACCAGTTTGTTGCAGCAGCTGCTGCAGCTGCTGCGTCATGGCGCAGCTTTGAGCTTTGCGTGCTCTGACCTTTCTCCAGAGCCTCGATCTGCTCCTGCGTGAAGCTGGTCCGGTTCCTCTGCAGCTTCCTCTTGAGCTGCAGCCTCAGCTGAGACTCCTCGCCTTCGTCCCGCTCCACAGGGACTCCTCCTCCTCCTCCTCCTCCTCCTCTGCCAGCGCCTCCTCCCCCCGCCTCTCCCCCCATGCTGCCCTCTGTGTCCAGCATGCAGCCCTCGGACACTGACAGCAAGCAGAGGAAAAACACACATGAAGAAATTTATTTAAAACAAATGTTGCTTTTTAGGGCTTGCAGCATGTTAGCAACAGGGGCGGTCGCTACATAAACGAGGCCCGGGCGAGCCCCTCTGTTTGGCCCCCCTGTCACACAGACTGAGCCAATTTTACAAAAAAAAAAACAAATGTTTTTGCAGGGTATCTTATCTGAGTCAGCCCTTCACTTTAACAGCTAAAATAACTGATGTTTTAAATGTAATATCTTGTAATTTTTCATGCATTTACATGAACAGAGGCAGATCAATAGGACCGATTATTAGAGCCACACTAAAAAATATATAAAAATTGAATACAAGAATAAAGTCATAAAATGATGTGCTTAAAATCAGAATCAGGTAATATTGACTTTATTCTCTAATTTCAACTTTATTCCTGAACTTTATTCTCACAATATTATTACTTTATTCTTGTAAGTTTATGACATCATTCTCATCATTTTAATTTTATGTATTTTTTCCTAGTATGGCTCTAGTACTTCATCGCAGATCAATGTCTAAGCAGCATAAAATTATTTGGTACAAGTCTGTACTTTGCAATCTCCAGGTTGGCCTTCAAGATAGTAATAAATGCCCCAAAATACATTGAAAAATTCTCATTTTTTAATGTTTTTACAAACAGAATAAGAATGTAAACAATCCAAACCTGCTGTTTTTAAGCATGTCTGATATCTGTGGAACAATCCTCTTCAGGTTTGACCAGTTTAAATGTTTTATATTTAATATTTTAGATTTAAATGTTGCACAAACTGCATAAAAATAACCTTTACCCAGCACTTAAACTGTATGTGACATAATGGGCGCCCACTCATTGACTAATCAAGCAAATAAGCAGCAAAAACTTATTGTGGATGTAAATGAGAGGCAACTTCTTTTGCGTCGAGATGCACGCTGTAGCCCCCCAGGCCGTGGCGCCCTGGGTGGTGAGCCACATCCCCCAGGTCACAAACTACAGGCTCAGATTTTCTGGCTGCAAAAGTTAATCTGCTTTAAAATTCAATAGATCTGACCTTAACCAGCTGACATGCATCCACGCTCGGCGTCACCCTCACCTGCGCTGTGCTGCGTCTGAACGCCGGTGGGGTCATGGTACCAGTTGTTGGGCCCGCTCCAGTTGGAGCCGCTCTGCAGGTTCAGCATAGTTAACTTCTCATACATAATACGGGCGTCCAGACCAGCATGGAGAGAAATAAAGGAACCCCCGTCCTCTGCGTGTGATCGGCCCCGTTTAGTCCTCTCCGCCTCCTTGGGTCCGTTTTGAAACGGCAGAAAAACGAAGCAGAAGAAGAAGAAGGAGGAGGAAGGAGGGGTTCGTATCGCATGAGTTCACACATGGTTGGCATTGTGGCGAATTAGCCTCATGATGACAGACATAAATGGAGTTAGTTACATGCTCGCTGTCGTAACGTGTGTGTGTTATACATTGCAAAGCTAGTATACCACGGGGAGAGGAGGTACATTAGAACCCACTCAGAGAGCTGTGACATTTGACTTGCTTTTAGCTCCGTTTTTGCAGAACTCAAGCTTCAATGCACTCAGAAATAAGCAAAAATTACCTATAAAAGTATAATTTTTCATGAAACTAATAAACTTTCCTTGCAGATGTGCAGAAATGAAGCCACTGCATGAGTTGGAAAGCTTTAAAATCAAAGTTGTTCACCTAGAAAAGGCTTCAAGTTAGGATGCATAAGGCTCAATCACACAGTTGTTGCAAAATATATATATATTTTTTTACGTTATATAATAGTGCGACTGAAGCAAAGAAGTGTCAAAGGTCAATTTGGATTAATTTAGCTTCAACAAATTCACAAATTTCAAAACTGGGTTAAGAAAATTATACAGCATGAAACATTTAAAAGCTTAAGAGATTAATTTTCACCAACTCACCAAGTTGACCAGAGAGACGGACGCAGTCGTCCTGAGAGTTCCTCTCCTCCTCGGCGGACCTTTATTCCCCCAACGTCCGGCTTTGTTGACAACGCTGTGTGTGTGTGTGTGTGTGTTGCAAAGGAGAGTGCAGGGAGAAAGATGAAGAGAGTTGGACAGGGTGAGATAGAGTGAAAGAGGGAGGAGAGGGACGGAGGGATGGAGAGAGGTGGAAGGAGGGGGGCTCTGGAGAGAAATGCGTCTGCAGGCGCTCGTGTCCTCCGAGCGATGGGGAGAGAGAGGAAGAGGAAGAGAGGAAGGGAGAGGGAGCCACCGAGGGGTGACAAAGTGAGTCAACATCAGTGTCAAGTTTGAACTTAATGCCAGCGAGAGGAGGAGGGGGGAAGGCTGGGAGAGAGGAGCATAAAGCACAGATAATGGAAAGATAGGGGATGATAAATAGATGATGGGGTTCAATTTTAGCCATAAATTACACATAAATACTGAGTAAAATCAGCAGGGAGGTATTTCCAGACCAGACTGCGCTGAACCGGGTCACATCTTTAATTATTGCTTCAATTATGGGAATTTTCTCTTTCTTTTTTTGGCCTGTTTTAAATCAGGACTATTTTGTGTTTTCTTTAAAGCTGATAAAATTAATTTCTATTAATAATGCGATGTGGTGAGAATCAGTATGCATTTTAAATATTTCAGAAATAAATTAAAAGTACCTTTATCTCACTCACAACCTGAAATCTAACAATAAAGCAATACATCTTTAAAAAAGCACCAAAAAATAAAAATATTTCAGATTAATTAATCAAAATGTGACATTTTCTTGCAGGATCTAAATTTATTTTTATTTGTTTCACAATCAGATGATTTGAAACTACAAAACAAAAAAAAACATTTTTTTGGGTGTTTTTTTTTTTTTACAGTGGGAGCAAATCGTTAATGTTAGATAATTAAAACATATTTAAGCTCCGAAGCTTTGAGGAAACATCAGAAATATCAACAAAACATCTAATAAATGAGACAGAATCTATTTCTAAGGTGTTTTATTATAACACAAAACCTTCTTTGGATATGAGGACACATTTTAATAAAAATCTATTACTGCTGATAGGAAAAGAAGATTTTTCTGCTTTGTGCTCATGCAATGAAACATCTCCACATCTTCACCCACAGGTGATTATTAATAGTTTTTAGAGAAAAATCCGACCATTAGTTTTGGGAAACCTGCTTGAAGGTAAAACTCATTTGTGTTGCAGCCTGAGCAGAACCTGCAGCTCGGCTCTGTTTTAACAGTAATGACCTACATCCAGTCCAAACACGTTCAGCAGCAGCGAAACACCTGATTTCATCAGCTCAGGTTGCAGATTTTAAAGAATATCTTCAAATTTGTGGCTGATTCACTCTTATCTTTTAAAATACTGCAGGCTTCAATAGTTTTATTATTTCTGTTAAACATGTTTTCATTTGATCCCCAAAATCTGATAAAAAAACATAAATATCACAGTGAGATATGTCTGATGATGAATGATTTTTGTGATGAATTGGCACATTATTCAAATTTAATACAGGTTTGGTGATGAAGACTATGATGAAGAGTTTAAACGGTTCGTTTTAAAAAGAGTTTTACCTTTAAAATGTCGTTTCAGCTGCAGCAGAAACAGAAAAAGTATCTGCACCCCTTCGACAAACATCACGCAGCACATGACTGCGACGGTTTTTAAAAGTTTTCAGGAATCTGAAAAGTGTGGTGGGCATTATTGATACATTGAAACAGAGTAGAAATAAGAATAAAATGATCAGAGGTTGATTATCTGGAAAGCATACATTTAAAAATAATTCAAAAGGATTTCTGGTATTTTATTCCAGTCATGAGAAGCTTTCACTGAAAATAAGCTTTGTCTGATTGCAATTTATTTTATTTTGTGGCATCAGAGTAAAGGAAGCTGAATTAAATGCAAATAATTATGTGGCTGTAATGTGAGAAAAAATAAATGGTAAATTAAATGTGTTACATTTAATTGTTGAAGGTAACGATCCCGTTCATCGCCTTCAGCCTGCAGATATATGGAGATTAAATTTAACACATTTAACCCCTTTAGTGTCTGGATCATTAATAATTTCAAATAATCCTAAACAAACTGTTTGTTTCTGAACTCTCCCTGAGTTAAAACATTAGTATTATTGTTTCTAAATGAATATGAATTTGTTCTCTTTCATTTTGAGGTCTGAAATCACTGCATGTTTTTCTCTCATTTTCTGCAAATAAATTCCATATTTTTGCTTGACACTGTCAGCAGTTCACAGAATAAAAGCTCATTTTACTGATCCCTTCATTTTTCCAGAGCTTTTCTTCTTTTTTTATGCAAATTATCACCTGGAGGGACAATAAACCTTTTAACCGTTTACATATGTTTGTGTTGAAACGTTAGAGAAAGGAAACGCGACGCGCTGTTGGATTCGTAAGCCTGTTTTGTCCAACCGGACTCAGACATGCAGCAGCTTGAAGACGCAGAAACTCTCCTGATTTTCCAACAGCAGGCGCCATCAGGGCCTTTCAGCTGCAGCTTGCAGGATCCCCATCCAGGAACTCCAGCCTGCAGACGGACACGCTCGGCCCGACGTGAGGTGTGTACGGTGACGCAGGTATGACGGGATGTACAGCGCCGAGCCGAGCAGAAGCCGGGTTTAAATATATCTCCATGCAGCGGAAGGGAGAGATGGAGGACGGAGGCGAGAGAGGCAGAGGGGAGGAAAACAGAGAGAGAGAGTGAGGAGGAAGTATATGACTTTGGGGTGGGAGTAGGGGCTTGGGGATGGGGAGGGTGCCAGCTTGTTTTATTTCCGGTTGACAAGACTTTGCGCTCCCTTTCTCTCTGTCGCTCCCTCTCTCTTTCATACTCTGCTATTCTTTCTCTGCTGCCCCCTCTGCTCCCCCCTTCTCTGTTACTTCCCTGCGAGATGCGCCTTGGAGAAAAGAAAGGACTTGACAAGTTCAAAGGTAAAAAGCACAGTGGCAGTGGATGCGTGCAGACGCTCCACTTAAGCAAAGGAATTACAATACTTGATTAAAAGTTTCCTGCTTGAGTTTCCTGCTTGGCTACAAGTGAACATTGTGCAACACTTCCATCGGTTCATTTGGGATGCTTTAATGTTTTGTGGAAGGAAACTTTCCCTGCTGTTAGAGGATGAAGGCTTTTTTTTAACATGTATTTATGAAGCACTTTAAAGCAGCCACAGCTTTTATTCTTCAAATATAACACAAAAATACCAAGAGTTACACATAAAATCTAAATAAAACAAACTAGGTCAAGTCTGGACCTGAGGGGCCAAAAAAGGTAAGTAAGGTTGAAGAAGCTCATGGAGATTTGCTGATCATTCAAACATTTAAATGTGAAAATAAAATAAACTGTAAAATGCACAGGCAGTGGAGTGAAGCCAGATGTGATCAGAACAAAGTTTATAAAACACCAAAATACAGCAAATTTCACCTAAACTTGGTCTATTTATGTCTAAGTTCACTTCATATAAATCAAATTTCTCCTCAAATTAGCTACATGCAGTCAAATGTGATACTAATTAAAGGAAAATACAATTGATCATTTAATCCCAAAAGATAAAATCTGGTTTTGTTTCCTGTTAAATCAACTCCTAATTTTAAATTATCTCAGTTATCCTTGGTCGATTGCTTTGCTTTCAAACCAGAAATAAACCGATAAAAACCAGAAGCAGCAGCAAAACGTGAGCCAGAAGTTCAAGGCTTCGATCAGAGGAGTCAAACTCCCGTCCTGCATCCAGCAGCGGGTGATAATTAGTTACATTTACTTGGGTAACTTATAAAAAAATTAATTTTAGGACTATTTTTACTCCACTGTTCTTTATTATAAAATATTTCTTCTCTTACTTGAGTCAAATTTCTGGATTTTCTATCCACTGAATGAAAAACAAACATGTTTTATTCAAAAATTCAACATAAACAGACAGTTTCTGTCAAAGTTTCATAATTTTTTTTTATTGAAAGAAACTAATTTGGAAACATTTATTTGACCTGACTTTGTTATTTTTTGTTACTTATATAAATTATTGTCATTTTTGTCCTTTCAACTTTCAACACTTACGTCACAGTCATAAAAAATCATTGTAAATTATTTCTCTTTTACCTGGAGAACAATAAATAAAACGTAATATTTCACGCTTGGCTTAATATTTAGTCATTTAACTGTTTGTTCTTATTACTTTGCACTTTTAAAGCCTATAAAATGTTTCTATTTTATTCCCAGCAATGAAATTAAGATTTTTCTTCTACAAACTTTACTTTAGTTAACAGAATAAAAAGGATGGACAGGTGTGCCCAGGTGTGTTTTTGAGTAAAAACTCACTAGACTTATTATGAGATCAAAATAAAATAATTTAAAACAATTGTTGTTCTCTTTTTTCACTTCTTACCCTAAAAAAATTACAAAAAGTGTCAGAGGGGCAAATATGTGCACTAACCCCAACCCTAACCGGAAGGGCCACAAATGGTCCCCAGGCCGCACTTTGGACACCCCTGCTCATGTACAGGTAGGAAAAAATGTATTTTAAAAAATTATTAATTATTAATTATTAAATCAAGGAGTTGCATAAGGAAAATATTTGGTATGAAGATGGACGTTCATGTTGATTCTCAAGGCTCCCAGTCTCATTTCTCCCAGTCTGTATTTCTACCTTCCCATTTAATCTTCCCCTTCCTCCATTTCATACCTGCAGTCAAATATCCATCCAGTTAAACTGTATCGGCATATTCAGTAATTATAAAACATCTCTAAGCTCCTGTTGTTCGATTTGTATTGGAGTCACATAAATTACCTTAAAGGAGACGAGATTATTTGTTAAAGTGTGAAATCAGGTATAAAATGTCACTCTATGGAGTACAAATGATGCCAAATATTCTGCACAAGACATCCAATGAAATGATCAAAACTACAATTATTTGGCTCCAATCTTTGATAAAAAAGTGAAAAAATATAAAATAATCCAAACTAGTGGTTCTCCAACATTTTATAACTATAATGACAGAGATTTTAAAACAGGACATACATTTTTTATAAAATCTGTTCTTGTCCACTGCAATGTTTAATCTGTTGATTTTTTTTTTTTTTACTGAGAAATAATTTTTGTTCAAGTTTAAAGAAGTAAAAGTTGAATTTACATGTGAACAAATCAAAACTTTCTCAGCAATCTTGTCCACTGAATCCAAAATGGCTGCCTTGCATCCAAAAGTTAGCGGTAGCTTCTGTAAAACACATTACATTTTCACATCTGATGAGTTGAATCTCATTACATCTTTCTTTATCGCCTCCTCTTTCGCATAAACAGGTAAGTACAAAACTTTAAAGCACAAAATGCAAAGAAATTCTCGTTAGCTGAATTGCTAACAGGAGTTAGCTTGCTCAGTGAGCTCGTCAATGCGCGAATCCAACTGGTTTCCCAACTGTAAACTGGAACGTTTAGCTCACAGCTCATCTGTTCATGGACCCTTCAATCTGTTGATGAAAGATGAAGGAAAATGGATCAGAATCAAAGAAATTTCATTTTCAGACTCAAACGTGATCAGTAAAGCTCCTTTCATTCAAATGTGACACAAAATGCTTTGCAGGTTTTTAAAGGCACTAAAAACCATAAATAGATAAAAACATAAATACTAAACATTCACATCTAATATTGTTGCAAACATGACAGGACTCAATAAGTGATTCCATATGAAATAGAACTGAAGTAATAATTTTATCTAGCAGTTAAAACGCTACAACAAAAAGATGCTAAAACAGCTTCACTAGAATTTAAATAAGACAATAAATAAAAAAAAAGAATAATAAATATCTTAAACTATTTGCTTTTAAAAGCAAAAAAACCTAAAATTACATGAATAAATATGCCTGATATTGCTGTTTTGTTGCTTGCTATGGTGAATATTTATGATTTTAAATTAAAATAAATGCAGGTTTTAGCAGTTTTTCAGTTTAAAAATTTTCACTGAATAATTCCATTGAATTTCAACAAAAGAATCAGTAATGCACTCAAATTTACTTTGATTTCTTTGTTTTGTTCCCACAAAATAGGATCAATTAAGTCCTTTTGCAAAAGCCTTAAGTTTTTTCTTTATTTTAAAACCTAAAAATAGAAATAAAATAATGTTCCTCGAATAATGACAGTCGACATTCTAAACAACTTTAAGGATGTAAAAGATTCTTTCCCTGTAAAAACTATGTGAACTCCAGTGTGTGACGGGGTGTACTTTCTTATTTTTTCACCCTTAACATGAGCAAGAAATAAAACTGAGTCGGATCGATGTTTGTCTTTTGGAAATATCCTCACTGGTGACTTTATCACATTTTATGCTGAAATTTGGTATTTAACAAGTAAATTATAAGACATTAAATAACATCTAGAAAAAAAAAAAAAAAAATCAGGATTTCTGGTTGTTAATACCAGGAGATTAAAACCCCTGAGAAGAAAAATCCTTCTTTAAATGTTTGAATAATCAAACAAAACTTCAGGATAATAAAAAAAGGATTAAAATTGTGACTTTAATTTCACCATAAAATCAATAAACAGAGTTTTATTGTAGCAGAGGGTTGAGTGTTTTCAAGCTTTTGTTTTTCTTATTGTCTTTCGGTTGTTGGAATTTGGTTGAACCTACGTGATCCCTGCGCCTGCCGAGCGCAGCAATGCATGTGTGTGTGCGTGTGTGTGTGAGTGTGAGCATGTGTGTGTGTGTGAGTGTGTGTGTGTGTGTGTGCATGTGTGTGTGTGTGTGAGTGTGTGTGTGAGTGTGAGGTGGCGCGTGCTTCACTGCAAAGATTTATGTTGCTCCGGGACATGCATTTTTTTTAGTGCATCTTGTTAGTTCATTCCTGTCACCTCTCTCGCTCTCCCTCCCTCCATCCTCTGCTTTTTCAGCACTGAAGGGGGGATGGGGACGAGGAGGGGGGGGATAGGGGGGTGGGGGAGGGGGGAGGGGGGAGGGGGGGTGGAGCCGGTCGCCATGGCTACCGTGCCATGACAAATATTCATCAAGTTGTTGGAATAACAACAAATGGGAGAGCATTATAATGGCTCTCTCTGACTGGGTCCAATAATGCCTTCGTATATTATGAGTGAAGGGAGGCGGATGGCAGAAATAAAAAAATAAAAACAATGAAATAAAAATCTATTTAAAAGATCTGCTGACCCTGCAGGCGGAGACACGTTTTTTTTTTTTTTGTCTTTTCACCTGTTTCGGTGACTTCACCTCCCCGTTACCTGCTTATGGGATTCACTGGGAGGACTTTGGTGAGTCTTTCTTTGTCCCTCCATCTCTGGCTCTTCCTGTACTGTTGTGTAGCCGCGGGCGATACTGTGATGTGTCCTCCCTCTGTCCCTCCCTCCCGCTCCCTCTCTCTCTGTCCCTGTCACCTTCAATTGCTCTGTGAAACTAGACACAGTGCCTGGGGCGGGCGGGGGGACGGAGAGAGGGAGCGAGGGAAGGATGGAGGGATGCAGGAAGGGAGGGGAAAAGGGGAGACAGACAGCTTTACAGGCAGACAGAAGGAATAAGCGCTCTGACATGTAAAACGAACCGGATTACCACATGAAAAGAACAAAATCGATCATTTTGTTTTCTTTCTGACCACATAATCAAACACTTAAAACAACAGCTGAATCAATGCCTGCCTGTGTGTGGCTCTGCACTCACTGAATAATAAAGCAAATTCCTAGAATTAAACCTGCTGAACTTGTTTAACAACTAAATATTGAAGAGCTTTAAAATCTCTTGAGAATCTATTCTTTTCATGTATAAACAGGATTATTTGTCTTTGTGCCTCTTTTGTTTTGTTAAATCAGACCAGTGGTGACAAACATATTTTCATTTTGGGCCAAATCGAGATCATGAATGTCCTTAAAGGGCCGGTTGTGCCAAGCGTATTGATAACACCTGATCACAAACTGTTAAAATATCAACAATTCTTAAAGTTAAATATTATTATTCAATTTATTTTCCGTCTCTACAGGATTTTGTGGTTCTTTTTGTGATTTTTTAAAATAAAAATCAAAGTTTTTGAGGTACTAATTTGGAAATATTTGCGACATTTGCTTCTATTTATACGACTTTTCATTACTCGCTGTATAGATCCTAAACTATAACCTGGCATCAATTTAAGCTGAGACAGCTGTTTAGTACAAGTAAGAAAGTTTTTGACAATTTTAGCAAAAAATGTGCAATAAACTCCCAGTTATGTATCAGCACAGAAAAGTGCAGAGATTTGTTGATTTTGCACAAATTTCCAAGATAATTCTCGAGACACTGGAGGGACTGACTGATCAAATTTGGCAGTAAACAGAAAAAAACTTAATTGATTTGATTGATATTTAAGCACACTTAGCGTTTACTCTAGAATCCAGACGGCCACATAAAATGCTACAGCGGGCCGGATTTGGCCCACGGGCCTTCGGTTTGACACCTGTGAGTTAGACTAAACTTTTCCTGCTTTTCCTCAGTTAGGATGACAAAATTATGTCAGTTTGCTAAATATAAGAATGAAGAGAAATATTTCTTTATTACTTTTTGTTTTTTTAACCAAAAACTGATTAAATAGATTTAAACATTTTTACCTAAAAGAAATATTTATTTTTGTAAACTTTGGAAATGCAAAAAGAATAAATAAATAAATAAATAGGAAAACTGCTGTAACACTGAAACCTCCTTTGTTCTCCATTTTTCACCGAACCTGAACCCGCTTCCCAGGAAAACAACCTGAGAGGAATGCAAGGACGCAGGTGCGCTGCAGGGGGCGGGGCGAGGCCTCTGATTGGGTGTGAAGTTCCGCTCAGGTAACAGGTTCCTCGGTTGAAACCGTGACTCAGGGTTGAGCGCAGATCGCGGGCTTTTGGGGGCGTAAACGGATTCTTGCGTTTTTAGGAAAGTTTTCAGAAAAGTGACAGAAGTTTCTCAGCTTCAGTTTCTGCTGCGTCATCACGGAGAGGGCCAGCCGCAGCGTTGGGACGATTTATTGAAATAACCGTCTAAAAACTGATTTGTTAATGTAGGCTATTTGTTCATCAAAATGGCGACGAAGTTTCTATTTTCTGTCATGTTTTTGTGCTTAACAGGTGAGTGCAGGGCGGAGGTCTTCCTGTCGGTTCCCCTCCCCTCCCTGTTTCTTTGTTTGGCAAACAGACATTTTGTTCTCTCGGCTCGTTTTCGGCTGTTTGAGTTTAGCGGTCATTAATCGTCTCCATGCTCTGCTCCGGGGTCATAAACTCGTATTTTGTCCAGGGTTCTCCGATGCGCAGGTTTGCGGCCGCCGTCCGGCGCTGAACGACAGGATCGTGGGAGGCGTGGGCGCCTTCAGGGGGGCTTGGCCTTGGCAGATCGACATCCAGGTGAACCCCGATTCACCGGACATGTTTGCGTTTTCATCCTGCGGGTTTGTGGTTTTGCTGATGGAGGGGTTTGCCTGTGATGCCGAGGTGACTCACTCCTTCATTCTCCTCTCTGCCTGCAGAAAGGCAAAACACATGTCTGTGGCGGATCCCTCATCGCGGAGGACTGGGTGCTTTCAGCTGCACATTGCTTCCCGGAGTAAGAAGCTCCAGCCGGACTGACCGACAGAACCTGCTGGACTCTGGTCTAATTTGCATTTGAAGGCATCTGGGCTGTTTTGCATGAAATCAGAATCTGAAACACAGAAACTGCCTTAACTTAAAGGTTCATTTCAATTTCAAAGGTTAAATTTGTGAAACCAAAAGACGATCTTTAAAAAAAAACACATACTATTTCTAAATCAAATGCTAAATTAATCAATATTAGTCGCATAATAAATACATTTTAAATGGATTTAGCTGTTGCACTTTTGTGATCAGGGTTTAAAATGGTGTTGCGAAATATCAGGAAATTGTGCAGTTGCTGTAATATTGCGATGGCTGTCATTTTCGATTCATTTTATCATCTGTGCTTCCATCATTTTGTCTCATGAGTTCGATGAAACTCTGCCCAACTGGCTAATCATTACACTAGGATGTAAAATGAAGGTTTATAACTCTTGGAATATATTTGCTGACAACTCCAGGGGTATAAAATTAAACTCAAGCGTGTTTTTAATGCTTTTCTGATGCAGCTGAATATTTCAGAATCACACACTCTGCCGTTTGCTTCTATGCTATTAGAAAATAGTGCAAATTGTTGTCCTTATTTATTCATCTAATCATTTAATTTGATGTTGGATACGTCAGATCTTTGCACAGATTACCAATAAGCAACTTTTATCAACGTTCATAATCAGTTGGTGTGAAACTATCTCAGAAAATCCGCATTTAAACCTTTTTCATGTAAAAAAAGAAAAAGAGTGACCGCCCCTGATTAGCCTGTGAAGTTTACATTTCTGCCATTCACAAAATCTTTTAAACACCAACTTTTCTACATTTTGGTCATGAAACAGAGACTATGAGACTCAAAGCTTGCATTTTTACGTGTTTGCAAAAATTCTTCTAAGTGGCCAAATTGTTTTCAACCAGAGGAAATAAACACTGAGCGTTGGATTTAAAACATCTGCATCATCTGCATTCTAATATACATTTTCAACTTAACTTATTAGGACTACTTTCTATAATGCTCTTGATGTCTGCTCTGATTTGAAAGATTAAAATGATTTCTTATTTAACGCCAGTAATTTGTTGTTTTTCAGTCCATCCGATATGTCCTCTTACACTCTGTACATCGGACGGCACCAGCTGGACGGGAACAACCCGCAGGAAGTGGCCCGTTCTGTGAAGCGCATCGTGATTCCACCTGCCTACGAAGACTCCAAACGGGGCAAAGACATCGCTCTCCTGCAGCTGTCCAGCTCCGTGTCCTGGAACAACTTCATCCAGCCTGTGTGTTTGCCTGCGCTGGGAACGTTGTTTCCCGCCGGGATGAGCTGCTACGTCACAGGCTGGGGAAACGTCAGGGAAGACGGTAAAGCCCGTTAACTTCCTGGGAAGTAGAATATCCTCAGTTCATTTATTTAACTTCAGAACATGAGGCTCTGATGTTGTATTGGTTTCACATGCAAGTGCAAAGAAATGAAAAATAAAAGAGAGAAGGGCTTCTTCAAATGATTTAACAGAAAAAAACTAATCAATAATTATTTTTATCAACTGCAGATGTAAACAATTAATTGACTTATGAGTAATGTTTACATTAAAATGAGTTCCTATTGATTAATAAGTCTTAACTAGTACATGTTCTATTAGAAACAACATTGTTAAAACGACTGGTTTTGTTTTAAAAATGTAAACGAGTTTTATTCTTTTCATCTTTTTCTACTCGGCCACTTAAAAGGTTCCTATTTTTTGTTTTATTAATGTCTAAAGTTGATGTGAGAAAATATTTCTTTTTTGTTTATTAAGTCTATATTTAATATACAATATTTGTTTAAAAATTATTGTTTTTATGAAAAATAAGGAAAGACAGTCGACACCCCCTTAATACGAAAGAACAATTTTTCGGAAAATGGCTGCTTATCAGTTGGTAGTTGATTTAGTTCATTTGATTTTAGAATAATTCAATGATCTATTACGTCCCTAATCATTAACAGATGTGAAATGTGTATTACACTCACATTATTCTAATGTAAGATGATCTTAAGTTATAAAACATGCTTTGCTAAAAAAGCAGCTGTGATTGATTAGCTTGCGTCTCTCCAGTGCCTCTGTCAGGAATCGGGACTCTGCAGGAAGTGCAGGTGCCAATCATCTCCCAGACTTCCTGTCAGAAAATGTACCAAACGAATCCGACGGAGCAGGTGGACATTCTGTACGACATGATCTGTGCAGGATACCAGCAGGGCGGCAGAGACTCCTGCCAGGTACCGTTTGATTTGTGTTAACAAACATTCGCTCGTTTGAGTGAAAAAATCTGAGCTAAAGACGCATTGCACGTCGTTTACATCCGGAAATTTCACACATGCGCACAACACTAAAGGGCGAAAAGACCATATTTTCACATGCTATTCACAGCTGTGCTGCTGCGGTTGAACAACAAAATGAAACCTGGAGTTGTGGGCATTATTAACCACCGAAGTGGAAAAAAACCTGAAAAACCATCGAAGAACAAAGTGGCTCTGAGTCTGCTATGCCTTGGCATAGCAACTGACTTACAACAATGGCGCTGACATATCAGAATTTGACACCAAAAAGAACAGAAATTTAACCTGTTGGTTTAATGTTTTCAGGGTTGATGTTTGTCTAAACACCTGCTCTACCGATGATTTGTCAGTGTGTGGATCGCCTTATCTATTAGTTTTTAAATATTTTTTTAACTGAACCTAAACACACCAAATTCCACAACACATCTACATTACGGTTGTCATAGTCAAGCTAGCGTAACTAAACTACTTCTCTCTCCCTTGATATTATTTTTTTATTAAACATTTTTCTGACCTTATCTAGTTGTAGTGATGACAATCAGTAGCAGAGCTCTGTTTATTTTTCTTTTATATGTCAGGTTTGCATTTGAGATTTAGTGCTGTATGTTGACGACAGCTAAAACCGACGGCAGTCATTGTCAGCCAGCAATTACAATAAATTAATCGCACAGTAAAATTAAAACCCAATAATTTCCATTGACGTGATTTATCTTTTTCTCTCATTGAAAATGTCTTTCAGTTGCAGTGTTAAATGTTCGTTAGAATTTAAAGTTTATTGATCTTGTAGAATTTGTTTTTGCATTATTATTTTTTCTTTAACCATCATGTTACTTAAAAGTGCTCCCAAAACAACAATATCATTATTTATCGCGATAACTTCTGTAGCAATTTATCCTCCAGGAAAATCTATCATGACAAGGCTCGTCCAGCAGGGGGCGGCATGTTGCACACATGACATCACATCTGCAAGCTGAGTAACTCTTGGTCTCTTCAGGGCGACTCAGGGGGGCCCCTGGTCTGCGACATGGTGAATGGCACCTGGGTGCAGGCGGGAGTGGTGAGCTTTGGACTTGGTTGTGCGGATGAGAACCGGCCGGGTGTTTACACCAGGCTGACCAGCTACTCCGAGTTCATCCGCTCCACAATACCAGAGATCCAGCTGTACGGAGGAGCGCGGCGGACTGCGTGTGAGTGGGTCGTTGTGTTGGCCAGCAGTCTGTCCATATTCCTGATGCTAACTTCAAGATAAAACTGTTTTTTTTATGTTTGTGTTGGAACAAGAAACCCAATATGAATGAAGGAGTTATACATTGTTTCTGACAGTTTTAATCAAATTTGTAATTCTTTTTTCCTGTCTGCACATTAAGCCATATGGAACTTTGTAGCCTGATCTTGTTTTTAATTAAATTTGATTAGATTTTAAATACGAATGAGAAGTTTTATTTGGAATTAAAGAAAAAGTTTGATTAAGATGTTTGACTTTTCTGTTCTTTGTTTTTGGAATTTAATCCTGGGCAATTCGGCTGAAAACGTAGCACAATATAAGCGTTTCAAATCAGTCTATCGCACTGCAAAACATAGGTTGTAGTATTTTTGGTCTAGTTTCTAGTGAAAATATCTTGAAATAAGACAAAACTGTCTTACAAGTAACCTTTTAGTAAGATATAGAGCTTTGTTTTCAACAATTCCTTAATGCTGATGAAAAAGTTCTAGTTTCATTGGCAGATTATTTAACTTGTTTTAAGTCAATTTATCTTGAACTTTTCCATCAATATGAAGGAATTATTGACTTAAAACAAGTGCATATGTCTTGTAATTTTTAAGTTTCAAGTGTTCTAAGATATTTGCACTACAAACTAGACCAAAAATTCTTGATAAGATTTTATTTTTGCAGTGCAATAATTGATTTTTTTTCTTTTAAATATCTGAAATGCTACCAAATTGGTGACATTGTTCCTGTTTTGAGGCAAACAGGAACAATGTTTGCCTCAAAACAGGAACAACCAGCTTGTCAACTGGTTGCTGCTAGGTAACCAAAGAGCGATTTGCTCAAGCTTTTCCTCCGAGTAAATCCCCCAGAATGCTATGCGGTTCTGGATGGGAGTTCAGTGAAATTGAATATTCTAATCAGATGTATTATCTATTGATATTGATCATCTATTGCAGGGGTGCTCAATACGTCGGTCGATCGCGGGGAGGTTTTGAGTCGATATGAAACAAACTGAAGACCTCCAGGACGCTGAGAGCAGCACTTCCTCTTCTGACAGGCTTTTCAAAATATTCACTAACATCCAAAACGTTTGTAGCTTCATTAAATAATAATAAAGCCTGAAAGCTGATATCGTAACGAACTGAACGTTTTTAACGTAATCTTTGCTCGGCTTGCGGGGCGCAGGCGGTTGCCACTGCAACGGGTGTGCTTAACGATAAAGACAGAAAGAGAGTAAAAAGGTGCGAGAGGTTCTGAGTTGATCACCTGTTCGGGTTATTTTACCTTTGTTTTCCTTCGCTGTGGTTCATCACAGCCGCTGCAGTTTCTGAACGTTCAATAAACGACAAACTTGGACTAATTACCTCGTTCGTTTGCAGTAAACGTCACAACAAACGTCAAAAAGGACACATATATTTGATTACATTTTAACAAACAAATGGCTTCTACCACAATAATTGTGTCAAATTACATTAATTATATCCCAAATTCAGAAGATTTGCCTTTACCTCTGCAGAGCTCTTTGGTTCCTCCTATCAGTCTGCAGTTTCGCATATTGACGTCATCAAACCAAATTTCGGACATACCATAACTGACTGACACCTGCTGGCCTCAGGTTTGCAACCAGCTTGACTGAGAAACCAGTGACCTGCTTCCAGTGTCAGAATCTCACTGAGGAAGAAACTGCATTAGGTTTTCTATCACTTTATCATTTCTGATATAACTGATGCATATTTGCATAGAAAATTAGTCAATAGGGTTTCATTTATAATTTGTATGTCTTCATGTCATGAGGTAGATCTCAGCCGGCTGGTGAGAGACAGAGTAGATCTTGGTCTCAAAACGTTTGAGCACCCCTGATCTATTGCAATCTGCATTATTGATTTATTGCCCATCCCTAGTGGAAATAGTAGATTTTCTTCGTGCAAAATCATCAAATTTTATTCATAAAACTCTCATGCAGCACCCAACGGCAGCAGACTGGTGGCGCCAAAATGTTTTTATTACAGAAAGAGCTGCATGATTTAAGAAACACTCAACGTCGCCTATAAAAGGAAACATTATTGACTCGATGCATGTTGCCCAAGTTGGTGGTTAAAACACAAATGCAAGTGTGTTTGAGGAGGGAGGTGAACTCAGGCATCATGGGGGATGGTATCAGAGAGGATCATGGGTGAGCCGAGCTGCAACTCCTGCTGCAGCGACTCCAGGTCAGCCGGAGTCATGCGGTGGACCTCGCTCCAATCAGATAACAGAGAGGCAGACAGAGGCGCCGAGTCGAAGCTGCAGGGAAGAAAAATGCATAAAGTCAACACGTAAATGTTTTGGGGTTTTTTGAAGTGCTGTTTAACACACCTTACAAATCATAAAAACTAGACATGCTGCTAATAACCACTGAATTTACAGCTTAATGTGTTACTTATAAATGTTTAATTATCTATACTATGAGACGAGGAGTCCTGCTGTTTGCACATAGTTCAGCTAACTGGTCTGGAGTGTTTACCAAACTGGGAGGAAAAAAAAACAAGAATGTTGGACCAGGAGTTAAATTTAATCTAGCGGCTGTTTTGTAGATTTTATATGATTTGTTCCCCTTTAAAGCCCAATATCTGTCCAGTTTTGAACAACAGTGTCAAAAGCAAATGAGGTGGATTAGCAGTTAAAAGTTTTTAAGTGTCTTCAGTCAGAGGCTTTTTCAGATTTATTGCAAGACTGCTGCTGGAGATCCTTCCTCTTTAAAGACACTCGAGTGATAAGAGGTAAAACATTTCATTTCTTTTTGAAAAAGTTCTACTTTGTTCATCTCCATAACATTTTGTATGTTTTATTTATCAGGTGAATAAACATAAAGGCACAAGTAATGTATTTTAAAGCCATTTACATTTTTTGAGTGCTTTCATGGTGATGGTGAAGATACCGCTGCTTTAAAGAGACAGGTTGCAGGAAATCTTAATATAGTTATTGGTTATTTAAACATTTAAAAATGTAAAATGTTTTGGTTTTCATTGGAGATCATTATAGAAACAACTGCATTTTTGTCAATGTTTAAATAAAAGGGGTGCTTATTTACAGTTCAAAGCATTTACGCTATTGTGAGCTAAAAATGCTCACAAAAAAACTGCTGTTTTTGTTTTTACAGATCTATATCTTGATGCTGCGGCGCAGACTTAGAAACCTTTGATCATCGTGGAAACTGGACACAGTTCTAGTGGACAAGCTCCTCTTTTAACCCATTTTACCAGCATTGCACTGAAAAGTAGCTCATAATGAGCTCAGCACATGTGCAGCTCCAGCAGGTGTTTGCTAATTGCTGCTGGCTAGTTTGAAGGAGCAGAGTGGGGGAGGGGTGCTTTCTGAAGCTTGGAAACTGGAGCTTGAAGGCGGAGCTAAGTCCACCCAGACGCTTTGTACAGCTGAGTGGTTGAAAGAATCAAACATGTTTTTGATGAGAGGATGAATCCCAGTCGGAGATTCTCCACAGAACAGCTGCAAAGGTTTTAATAATCCTTATTGGACAGAAAAACTAAGGCCTGTCCTGGACCTCACCTGTCCCGGTCACCGTGTTGCAGCTCTGTCAGAGACTGGTTGAAAAGGTCATCCAGATCGAAGCCCACCCCGTACCCGGCCCCGCTGCCCTTTGGGGTAACCGAGAACATGGGGGGTAATGGGTCCTCCACCTGCCAAAGGGAAAATTATTACAAATTATGAACCCTTCATAAAAACTAAAAAAGAAGACATGAATAAAATTGCTCACCTGTGACTTTGACAGCTGCAGGGTCACTGTATGGATGTCAGGGGCAATAGAAGGCCCTTGTTGCCCCGTGTCTGTAAACCCTAAGCTGGGGTGTGTCTGGGAGGGAGGAACCGTCAAAGTCCCACAGAGATGGTTTATGCTCTGTGCTGCTGATTTCTCACCCAGAGAAGAGCAAAGCTTCTCCATGAGTCCGGGACTCGCCGTCAACGAGTTGAGGTTGCTCTGACCTCTGACATCCACGTTCCCATTTGTCTCTCTGATGGCCACCGAAGGCGCTTTGGGCAGAAAGCTCTCGAGGGGGAGCAGGTGCACCTGAGGTTTAGGGTCGGGCGGCGGCTGACTCTGCAGGAAGCCGGACGCTGGCTGCGCCGTCCTGTTCGGCTGCTGCCTGGTTTCCAGCTGCTGGCCGCTCCAGTTCCCCACTCCGGCGAATTCTCTTTCCCTGTTGCCCTCTGCGTGCAGCTGGAGTGTGTTGTTTTTCACATATCCACCGGTTACGGCCATCATGTCGATCCCGCCGCGTGCAGCAGCTACTACGTCTCCTGGAGGCTTCCTCTGGCTCATGGAGAAAGGCAGAGTTAGCTGCTGGGTGGAGGCTGGAGGCGGAAACAGACCCTGCTGGTTCGCTTTTACTAGCTGCTCATGAGGCTGACTTTTCCTCGCCTTCATGTTCGTTTTACTGTTCTCACTGATTCTTTGGGAATTCAGGTTACAATCCTTAGTTTTCCCGTCGTTATTAGCAGTTTGGGATTTGTCGCTGCAGCTGTCGATCATCTTCCTCCAGCGCTGCAAGAGGCTTTTGTCGTTGTCGCTCAGCAGGACCCCGCCCAGCGAGTCGCCCTGTTTCTTCTCCTTTCTTTCCTTCTCCTTCATCTTTCTCTCCCTCTCTCGTGCTCGTTCCTGCCTCTTTCTTCTTTTCTCCTCCCTCTCTCGCTGACGTTCCTGGGCCGTGACGGGCCGCCGCGACTCGGGAACAGAAGACACCGCGGACGAGACGCATCCTCCTCCGGTGCCATCAAGGCCCAACCCAGAGCCGCCTCCGTCTGCAAGAAGGGACTTCAGTTCAGACCAGTTTAAACTCACGGATGTTGCTCTTAGTCACTAAAGTGTGTTGAATTCAACTCTGAAACCGAAAGACGTTTTAAATATCCCAAATAAATAACAGAAAAAAAAACAAATAAAATGAACTATTCTGTAAACAAAATTGGTACAGTTGAGACCAAAGCACCAGCCTGCAAAAATACAAAATCTTTAAGTATTTTTAGTCTAGTTTCCATTGTTACACTTGAAATAAGACAAAACTAACTTACAAGTATTTTTCCAGCAAGATACAGAAGCTTGTTTTCAGTCAACATTTTTGAAAAAGCAGATTATTTCACTTATGACATGGAGAAATTGTCTTTTATAAGTACATTTATCTGCCAAAGGAACAAATACTTTTTCACCGGTGTTATGAAATTACTGATTAAAAACAAGCTCCTGTATTTTACTGAAAAGATACTTTTACA